CCTCTCTCACATATAACTTCCCCATTGGTTTCTCCGAACTATCCATTCCTTCTCAACATCTTCTATCAGTTTCACACCTCATATTCCCTGACTCTCAGTTTAATCCGGCCGAACTCTCCGGCAACTCATCCCAAAGGTGGGGCCAGTGCGACCGAGTATTCAGAGAGTCCCTCTTTCATAAACATCCAATCAGACAAAAATGAAGAATGCAACTTGATGAGAAGATGAATGAGTTTGATAAGAAATCGATAACACAGTAAACCTCTCTCAAAGGAACAACACAAGGGACTCGCAATCAACACTAACAACCATAAACTCTAAAATTCTCAATTGCAAGAACTACCAAGACTACTTTAAGAGTATCTGTTTGTCACTACTTCCTCTTCCACCTAAGTTCGCAACAGAGCGAGCCCAAGAGGAATTCCCCTCATTGGGCAGAACCAATGAGAGGAGTTAAGCGATCACTGTCACACACACCCCATACAATACAAGTTAACAACCAGAAGAGTAAAGCTGCTCCAATCGCCTCTCACAATCAACCAATAACTTCAAGAATCTCAATCGCAAGAACTACGAACTAAAAAGTGACTCCTTCCTTCAGATTCAAAGCGTTGCTGAAGTTAAAAGAAAACATCTGAAGGGCACAGTATCTTCATGTCTTCATTCCCAAAAAAAAGCCACACTAACTTGCCTCTTATGAATTCACGTTCCCTACACTAAAACTGACTCTACTCAACAACGCACGTCCCCTAGACAAACACAGATTCTATCCTAACTCGTTAGGAATTACGCAGAGTTAAAGAAAAGTTTTAATATCGGCAAATAAACTTTTCTCACTATTGAAAGTAAACTAGATCACTAAAATAACGCATAACGATCGAAAGCCCTTGAGACTAAGACTGCAACTACCTTGCAACAACTAACTCATTCTTTCTCATCATAACTAACAGTAAAAAACTTATAACAACCAAAAATCTCACAAAAAACGTCTGTTTTCCTTCCGATGTAGTATAGGAACGTTTTCTTCTATTGGTGCACTAGGTGAAACAATTTCCAAAAAACTAAACCCGAAAGAAGCTCAGAGAAACAATCAGCAGATTATAGAATCAAAAAATAAACAATAACTATAAACAAAAAAACAAATATTTTTAAAATACAACAGACAACTAGCCAATAAAAAAGACAACTGGAATGATCTAGAAGTTGAACCAGACTACAAACGATGTACAGTACAAATTATTCTCACATTCAGACTACGGTATAATTTGTTTCAAACTATAGTTATAATAAATGGGTGTAATATGTTTTCTCTTCTTGTGCTTTCTCAAGGTAAACAAATGAAGATTTAAAGTTAGCATTTTCTTAGAGTCCACATTTCTAATGACGCGATCATCTTCATTTTTGTATTTCGTATTGCAGCTTTGCTTCCGTGTTTCCTTTATAGTATAGCACGTTGTTTCATGCTGTACTACATCTGGTGAGCAATGAAATCCCATAATTCATTTCTTACTTGAAAAACAACTGTGAGCGGTGAGATTTCATGTTTCATTTCGCCCGTTCATTTCAATTTTCATTTCTCACGTGAGATGTTCTGTGAGCGGTGAATTTTGGAGTCTTTTCTCCATGTGTTGCTTGCTGTGAGCAGGGAGATTTCATGAAGAGAAAATTCATCTGATCTTTTATTAGTCAATTTAATCTTTGTTTTCTCGTAATAATTTCAAACTCGTGCCCTTCTCGACGTGTCCTACCCGTTCTCCCAAATCGAACAGAGCAGTTTGAAGTTGGTCTGTTATATACTTTCTTCTATGAATGCCTTCATGAGCACCAGCGGTTCTCATTTCATGGGTATCAATCGGCTCTCCGACATGAACTTCAACAGTCTGTTCATAAAAAGCGAGAAATTGAATATTAATTGAATAATCTTACATGACCGAATCGAGGATAGTATGGAGGATATACAGGCCAAACATTCTGCATGTTTTGACACCATATAGGTACTATGATTGGTGGAGCTATTGAATCCATCACTAATCTGCCAACTCCCCATTTAAACCTAAACTGTTCCTCACCAATGTGAATGAGAACGCTCGTTTTCATCACCTTATGGGATCCGCTGTAACTCTTCCTTCAGGGAAAATATGAACCCAACCGTTTTCGTTCAGCATATCCACAGAAAAATTCATTCCTGGTTGATAGACGCCTTCTCCTCGAACACATGGAACACAACGACCCAATGAGAAAATACTGTGCGAAATTGAGAACATTGTTATAAGCAAAGAGCGTACTTTGTATGCCATTGTTTTGAAAAGCATATATTATGGGCTGCTAATGTGTACCGATTCCTGTTCAAGTTTCGAAGAAGTTCGGGAAAGGATATCATTGCTGCAAAGAAAAGAAAGTTTTATACTGAAGGTTGCCATACCCCACATTAATGGATCATCAATATTACTTCGATGATTAGAAATAGTTATAAGAGGTCTCGAAGTATCCTCTAACTGCTTGAGGAACCTCTCCTTTTTATGAACTATTAGTTTGTTGCCTTAAATCATTCAAGCTTGCTTTAAATGAATGAATTTGGTACCTCCTAAGAACATGATTCTCGAAACAGACGAAACAAATCCCATCGTCAGGAGAGATTTCATTTTGTACAATGCTGTTCTCTTTTTTGGAAAAGGCCAAGCGAACTTGAAACCTCCTTTAGAAGCTTCAAGATCTCTTTGAGTTCCTGTCATGATAAAAGCAGAGCCCGACTAATCTACTTCTACTTAGTTTTTACACCCTGAAAAAGAGTGGTTGCTATAGATATACAGATTCACATGTTAAGCATGAAACAGCAAAAAAAACCATTAGATAGTGAAACGTTTGAAAGCAACACATAACATGAACGAATAAGATGAATAAAAATTACAATTAAACATTTATTAAAACGTTCGAAAATTTGTTATTGATTAGTAGAGTTTAATATTTGATAATTTAAGCATATTCATATTCTATCACAAATCACATCTGCAAGTGTCTTTTGAAAGTTTAGCGAATCTATGAAAGTTCAAACATGATCTAACAATTAGCATGTCCTAAGTAAATGATCATACAATATCTCAGGGTATTCGAGAATACTAAGCAACCTGAGTCCTAAAAAGAAAGTAACTAATCAGTTTACCAGTAAGGCTGTGAATAAGGTACAATTGAGGGTAGTGCACGAGATGGGTTAGTAAAAAAAAGTTAATTCATTCCTCCATAGCTTCTGTTTCTTCACTACGTTTCCTCATAATTTCAATTTCTTTCCATATAAGTTTTCGCCACTCTTCAATAGTGTCCTTCTCAACATACTCCTCCAAATCGACTCGACTAGTGAAGATTGGTTCATCAGACTCGTCATGGAAGGTACTGAGATAAGGATGGGCTAAACATTCTGTTGCAGTTGGTCTGCAGAAAAAATCTAAATTAATGCGAAAAGGAGAAAGTGGAACCTGCACTCAGGATCAAGATGTAACATCTTCTCTAAGAGATCCACGGCATTGGCAGTCGCATTTGCGAACAATTGACGGAAATCTTTACGGGGAATGTTAGGTAAGTTTCTAAGAAGAACAATGACTTCATTTCAAAATCTAATCTTATACCTAATGTAATTTCTAGCTTCTTCTGACTGTATCCGAGACAAAAAGTCTTCATTAGGCTTTCCCACTATTTGCATAATTCTTGTCAGCTGATCGATATCTGAAGAAATGAAATATTCCCCGGATTGTGACTTTTATTTTACGATCAGATCCGGGAAAGAGAGTTCTGCCGGTTATTAGCTCAGCTAAAATACAACCAACAGACCAAATATCCACAGTTTGAGTATAATGCATCCAATTTAGCATGATTTCAGGAGCACGATACCTGAACAGTTAATTTTAAACTCCCACATAGGGATCTTATATAGATAATACCATCTCGTTGCTACATATCCAGTCATTTCACTTTCTGCTTGCCGAGCAAGTCCAAAGTCCAGAATCTATACACAAGTAGGTAATGTAAGAACCAACTTAACTAAACCTTCAATTCACAGTCTTCATTAACAGCAATGTTTGAAGGTTTCAAGTCCCTATGAATAACACCAGCGGAATGAATGTACTAAATCCATGCGGTGACAAAGATTGCATAAGATGTTTTACCTTTAATCCTCTGAGGATTTGATATACTAAAAACTGAATATGATCGTCATTAAGCCTTTGAATTTTCAAAATATTCGACAAATCTGCGCCCATAAGAATTGAAACGAAATATCTAGAAATAATATGATTGTATGTATTCGAAAAAGCTTAAGGAACGAACACATCAGTCAACCCGTCCGGTGATTGGTCGGGGGTAAAAACATTTAATAAATCAATAACATTTTCGTGTTTCATATCCCTCAGAAGACGTAGTTCTCTACAATAATCTCAATCAGAAAAGAAACAGGACAATTAATTACCTAAAAGTTCTACGAGCATGTACTACAGTTTGAAATGGTCTGGTGAATTTCTTGATAGCGACTCTATTCTGTGTTAACATACAATCAGCGGAACTATAAAATTATAAATTAAATGAGAGCTATTTTACAGACATACCATACAGATCCATAAGCTCCAGTACCTACAGGAGTTAAATTTTGATAATGTTCAGGAACAATCCACACAGTCCTATTGAGTTCGACCTTGTGGAATCCATTCCTGACATCTGGGGAGTCGAAAAACCCATCCATATCTAAAAAGCATACACTAGTTGTAAATAGAAATCTATGAAGATATGAAATGGTTCAGAACCAAGTGAAGAAGAATAAACAACATCAGCTGGATAAAAAATGTCTAATATTATTATTAGTGTTATTAATATTATTATTATTGAGTATCATGCTTATTGTTATGGTATTTGAGTAATAAAAGAAACGGTAGGAGATCGAACGACTAGAGATCTTTTCATCACAAATAAAGCTTCGTATGGAATACTTTTGTAAAGAAAACAATGTTTAAGAGGAGAAAATTTGGCTTAATCTCCGCGGAGAACTTTGAAAAATCTGTATTTCTCTCCACAGCAAGTCTGAAAAAGCTGAGATTATAGAATATCTTCTTTGGATTCTCTAACCTCTCCAATCCTCAATAGTGGTAGCTCTTTCTTCATCTGTGTCTAAGCTGACAACAACATCGGCAATTGGTTCATCTTCCGCACAAGAGTAATCAGCCAAGAAAGGATGTTTCAGAGCATTTTCGACAGATATTCTGTTACCAGGATTATAACGCATAATTCATAGAATCTTACCTATGATCAGGATCCAATATGAGCATTTGATCCAGCATGTCAATGGCTTCCCTGGAAGCGTTCGGGAACAAATCAGCAAAATTACGTCTTGGCAAGTGAGGTAAATTTCTAAATGAAGTAGGTCAGAATGTTTTTGAGATTTACTGCGCACCGAATATAGTTACGAGCTTCTTCTGACTGTACTTTCTGAAGAAAATCTTCACTGGGAGTTCCAACTATCGACATTATACGAGTTAGTTGATCGATGTCTAATAAGAAAGTCCACTAATGAAGATAGAGTTTTCACTTACGGTCATCGCCTGGGAACAAAGCTTTCCCGGTTACCAATTCGGCTAAGATACAACCAACAGACCAAACGTCCACTGAACTCTCTAACTTTTCAATGAAATTGATAATATCTTCTGACCTGTTTGAGAATAATGCATCCAATTTAACATGATCTCCGGAGCACGATACCATCTCGTAGCTACGTATCCCGTCATTTCAGCCTCAGCAGCTCGAGCTAAGCCAAAGTCCAAAATCTTCGATCAAAACTTTGAAAGTGTTCTTCCGAACGAACCCACCTTGACCTGGCATTTCTCATTCACTGCTATGTTGGAAGGTTTCAAATCTCTGTGAATAATCCCAGCAGAATGAATGTACTTTAACAAAGAAACATGAGAAAACATTGCTATTGCACGAATTACTTTCAATCCTCTGAGAATTTGATAAATCAAAAGTTGAATTTGATCCAAACCCAATCTCTGTATTTTTAAAATATTTTGTAAGTCCGAACCCATCAAAACGGAGGTGAAATACCTTCAGTATACATTATGTTTTGAATTTGAATCTAAAACTTACACACTATTAAGAGTGCCGGCATCAGAATCAGGTGTGAAGACATCAATGATATCGAGAACGTTATCATGATTAAGAGTTCTTAGCAGTTTCAATTCCCTAAATAATAATAATCAGAGGACAAGAAATACCTTCTGAATAAACCTATATGTTCTTTTAGCGTGAATTGTACTTTGGAAAGGTCTAAAGAACTTCTTAATCGCGAAGCGTTCGCCTGTCTTGACATACTGGGCGGAGCTAAAGCGTACGAACTATTATGAAGTAAAACACGAATGAAGCAAAAAGAAGTGAGCTGATACTTATATTCATGAAAACATTCCTAGCAGTTAGCAAGGAGGACAGAAAATGTTTCGAGTGACTCGAGATGAGAAAAAAACTGTCATAATTTGCCAGTTTACAGGGGGAAGATAGTCATGTGATCTGTGAAAGTGAAATGAAAAGATTGGTCGTTTTCTATTTTTCTGCCAAAACAGACCGCTGGTTCTTCTGCCACTGTTTGATTTTGCGGAGATCTTTGGACAATCAAAATGTTGAAAATTTTTAAAGAAATGTTTGGTTTTGACAAAGAAAAGAGAATATAATCACTTGATAACAAAATCAATAAACGATCACATTGACTCACCAAACAACGCCATAGGCTCCCTCCCCCAATGTTTGCAAATTATTATAATACTTTGGAATTACCCAGCGAGTTTTATTGAGTTCTACCTAAAACAGTCATTAGTCGCAAAAGATTGAATGTATTGGATGCAGTCGAACCTCGTGAAATGAAGGTGGGGGAGGTGCTTCCGGTGGTGGGGCTCCAAAATTAGCAAAAAAAACATTTGCTGATGCCATGTTGCCCTTCAAAGGTGATAGTGACACTTCAAGAACACCTACTCATATTGATTTCTATAAAGAAAAAGAGTTAAAGATAATGACAAAAGGATTAAGGAGGTAATGAATAGGAAGGATTTTAAACCATTGTTGTTCAGAATCGCGAAAAATTTTGGAAATATTATATTTCAAGCATGAAAAGATATCACAATCATTCGTTAAACATTTTTCAATCAGTATTATATACATATTCTGGAGAGTAAGAGCGCGGCTCGAAATTTTGAAGTTCGTTCCAAATGAGCTCTGAAATAACTGTAATGCAATGAATAGGCATATGAAGGTTTACGTTTCCATTGCGACAAAGTTTTGCTTTCATCATCTTCTAATACCCAATCTGCAGTTGGCTCATCAGAAGGATAATAGTGTGTAGACATATATGGATGTTGTAAAGCTTCTTCAACGGTCATTCTGAAGAGAATTAATCAGATGTTTACTGTGGATAAAGAAGCTGCCTTACCTCTTCTCTGGATCCAATACCAAAACCTTATCCAGAAAGTCTATGAAATCTTTGTCATAACTCTTGAAGTGTTCGTAGAAATCAACACGCGGATGTTGCTCATACGATTCAATGACTACACGCATTTCTCGACGATAACTTCTCTCTATCTAAAGTATAGATGAATGAGAAAAGAACAAAAGGAAACGCAACTTTGTCGAGCAAATGTGAGTCTGGGCTTCCAACTAATTTCGTAATTTGTTCATATTGAGTAACCGCTGAAACAAGAAGAACTATCAAACGAAACCTCGAAGTAAATACAATTTGAACCACTAAACAAAACCTCTCCTGTCATTAATTCAGCGGCTATGCATCCAACAGACCAAACATCCACTTCAAAACACAGAATTGAACAAGTTCAAGAGGTCATATACCTTGTGTATTGTAATTATCAATGTTCCAATAAATAACTTCGGGACTCCTATACCATCTCGTCATCACGTATTGAGTGAGCATCTCCTTTTTATCCAAAGATCGCGCTAAGCCGAAGTCCAACACCCGTAAGTCACAGTTATCAGTAACGGCTATATTGCCGGGCTTCAAATCTCGGTGAATCACCTGGAAATTGAAAATGTCTAAATTACACAACTAAACTCTACATTAGCGGAATGAATATATTTCAAAGCTCTCAATATTTGGTAAACTATGAGTTTAACATGCTCGCTTCCGAAGATTCGAACGTTTTTCTGCTTTTGATAGTTCAAGAAGTTCAATAAACTGCTTCCAGCATATTCGGTCACTAAATAGCTGAAATGTTACAATTTGAGAGAGCACAACAAGAGAAGAAGCTACATCTGATCGAAATTGTCCTTGTCCTTATTTGGAGTGTATAAGTCAATAGCTTCTATAACGTTCGAATGTTTCATTAATTGCAAAAGTTTCAATTCTCTATAAATTCTTCGAGCCTGAAAGCAATTTTAATTGAGCATATGGAAACAGAGTAACGAACGTGGGATGCATTAGTAAAAGGGCATCTCAACTTTTTCACTGTTACTTCCCGTACTGCACCATCCCGACATTTTGTAGTGCATTTTCTAAAAAGAATTTATACTATTTCAAAAGATTTTAAATAATTACACAACGTCTCCATATGACCCTCCTCCTAAGTAAACAACATTCGTAGAGTCATAGCCTTTAGGAATGCAAAATCGTATGGTTTTGATTAAGACTTCTGTGAAGACACGTCCTGAAGTCCCACCTATGAGAGAAGCAGTGCTCTTTAACATATATTTTGAGAGAGGAGAACGACGGATTATACCTGTTCCGAGGACTCGGCTAAGATTCTTTCAACAGGAGTTGAACTAGGAGTATCGACATCCATAATGTGCTCCTCCAAATTCATTATGGACTCCTCCTCGTCACTCTCCATTTCAGCTAATGGAGCTTTAATATTATGTTTAGAATTTACAGCAGCACCTATAAACAGCTATTTATAGGAAATAAAATTGGAACTGATATAAAAAGATTCAGTGAAATTTTTTCTTTATCGTCATGAAAAGCAGCACAACGAAAACAGCATCGGCCAAGCAACCAAAAAATAACACAAACGTGGTCCCACCTTTTTTTTTTTTATTGAAATTGAAGCACGAGAGTCCATTCCACATACAAGAAAACTTCTCACTTTGAAATACTCGCTGCTTTACAACTAAGGGATTCTTACGGACTCCATGCAATACAACAACTAGCAAAGTATTAATTAGAGTTCGAATACAAATGAAGCTGTGAAGCGGAACATGCTCGCTGACTTCTAAGAAACTTATAAAAACGTTTGAGCACATGTATTTTTGGATATCCAACCATTTCTTCAAAATAAAATAAAAAGATATAAAAAATTTATTTGAACACATAGAATTAGCAGAATTACTTATATTTGGCTATTTTCCCTTTCTCTAATCTTACTGCTACGAGATCTATTGGATCCTGCTCGATGAAGAGGGCCCATGCTCTTTGACCTTTTTTGGAAACTTTCTTCAGACTGTCGCCTAGTACTAACACTACTGTTTCTCTTTTGCTCTAATACTCCTGCTCCACTATCGATTATCCCGGAGTGATACCTATATGAATCATCAGGAATAAGAAACGGAACAAATTTCTCAAACCTAGCTAAACTTGTGGCTCTTAATGTATTATAAGGACTCGCAACAAATATATTGCTTGGTGATCTCCCGTGCAAAGATAGCGTTGAACATCCAGGGATTCTACGAAACGAGATTATGATATAAATAACAAAAAAAGCGTTCTTACACTGGAGGATAAAGCTTCATTTCGTCATGAGGACGAACTACGGATGAATGAGCATAGGGGTTCTCCAATACTGGGTACGCCGGAGGAGGTAATGGTTGATATGGATTTTTTTCAAAGATAGGAGTACAATGCTGAAGTATGACACATAGCATGAAAGCTATACATTTGAAATATACCGGATAGTAAGTAGTGATAGTAGTAAGTCGGGCTGGTTCATCATGTTTCCGAGTGTGATGTAGATATAACTTGAAGAACTTAAAGAAACATTCATTCATTCCAAATTCTAAGAATGAGCTCACATTTGAAGTAACTAGAGAGTATATAAGAGAAATAATTGACAATATTACTCCAATTCCTAAAAGAATAGGGCCGGCTATTTGTATCGGAGGAGGCCTCTTCCTTCGGTCAGTCGACCAAGTCCAAAAAGGTGAGTCGTACATGACAAAAAAACCCATATAAACCTAAGCAATAAAGTAAACTTTTAACATCTTTGTTGAAATTATCATTACCATCAAACATCCTCCTAAGATCATGAAAACGCCGAAAGCTGCTGTACAAATAATAGACGATGAACCGCGGAATTTACTTTAAAAGAACAGTATAATAAATAGTAGTTCTGAAACCACTAGCTTACTCAGTGCGATAAGGGAAAAATCCAAAGTGAGCTGGATACAATACATCCCATCCTTTAGGGTAATAATAGAAGTAAGGATCTCTTTGAGCCATAGGGCCAAAATGGAGAACTCTTTGATTTCCTAAGATAACAAACATTAAAAGTGTTAAATATTAATTTCGTTACCTTTCCATTGTGAAGGATCAAGCTCCCCTACTTGAACCATTTCATCTTTCTTGTGGGTAACTTGATGAAGTTTGTCTACATGTGCATAATGCATGAAACAAGTCAAAAAAAAAAACAAACTCTGAGCTCTTCTCTTCTTCTTCTGATGTTGCCTCTCTCCATGTTGAGTGAAAAACAAATGAGTTCTGACTCTATCCTGGTGTCCTGCTGCTCCACTAGATCCAGCAGATCTTCCTCGTTTCCCTCCTAGCTACAAATTGCAAAGACGTCATTCTCATAATTAGGGGTGAATCATACCATCGTTCAACAAACTTCTAAACAACGTAGACCAGAAATTACGTTATTCCAGAAAACAAAAGCTGCGAAGAGCTAACATGCAGCTGGGAATATCCAGCCTCAGTTTTGTGTGATATCTGTTTAACGTTGAGAAGAAACATATGGTCTGCTTTGAGAATAAGCTGAGAAAGCAGTTGGTCCAAAAATATATTGGAAAATCTGCCCCAATGAGAATTTGAAACATGCTCCAATAACATGCCGCCCATACACTTTTGTACACTTATCCCTTACTATACATAACATTGAATCTCTCGTATTGTATTATTTATTATTAAATAATTTATTACATTATAAGACTACCTGTAAAGAGTCGGTTGAATCAAGGAATAAACATACATAAATCAGAACTTCACATTGATAATTAGCTTTTCTGTTGAATTTTGAAACTACGGTAATGCGTCTATGGTGCGAAGGGCTGTCCGATCTAAACCATGCTCTTTATTTTTTCTCGCTAATTTTAATTTTTCTAACTTTTTCCCTTTGTTTTTTTGTTTTGAATCTTCTGCATATCTAACTCTTCTAGGGTCCACTTAAACATCAGGCAAAGCATGGCATCCCTGGCTCGATCTGGTAATGTTGTATCTAAAGTGGTGAGCCCAGTAGTTGATTGATTATAATTTGTGTTGAATATTAGATCGCCGGAGTTAACCAAACTGCCACCTTTACTCCTGTTGCTGTTGCTTCTCAGAAGGTATGGTTCTAAAGTTTTATTTGTTTCAACATGGGTTTAGTCATCCGTTATCTCCACTGGAGTTACCGACTTCAAGAATGCTGATTCTCTTCAGGCTAGTGCTCAAAGAAGTGTTCAACAAGGAGGACTTTTTAACAACGGAGTAATCAATAAGGGAATCAATGGTATATACTCAGTTTTATAAACCATCATCACCATTTTTTCAGTTTCTTCTCGTCGTCTCGCTCATACCGACGTCACTTTCCCTGACATGAACAAGTACCGTCGTGAGGTTACATTAGATACTGAAAAGCCTGCTAGGGAAACCGAAGCTCAACGTAAATCTCTCCCTGTTGCTATATATTATGGAGGTAATTTCCAAAAGTTCGTTCTGAATCATTCGTTTGATTTTTAGCTGGAGGAGTTATGTCTCTCTGGGCCGGAAAGGAAGTTGTCCAAACTTTAGTTTCATACAAGGTATCGTCTAAATATTAGCAATTGTTATAAAGTTTTACTAGGCTATGGCTGCCGATCAAAGAGCTCTGGCTTCTATTGAAATCAACATGAGCGATATTCCAGAAGGACAAACTAAGACTTTCGAATGGAGAGGAAAGCCAGTTTTTGTCAAGCACAGAACTACTGCTGAAATTGCTAGGTAATCTGAAGAAGAAGTCCTCTAAAATTCATCTAAATGTTCCAGAGAAAAGGCTGTTCCTGTCGGTGAACTTCGTCATCCAGAACATGATGACGCTCGCGTTCAAAAGGACGAATGGTCCGTAGTCATTGGAGTGTGCACTCATCTTGGTTGCGTACCTATTGGTATATTGTTTCGCTGAAAAATGGTTTAAATTGTGTGCTTAAGCTAACGCTGGAGATTATGGAGGATATTACTGTCCTTGCCACGGATCTCACTACGATGGTTCTGGACGTATTCGCAAGGTAGTTTCTTTTTCTTTTTTCTAGTTGCATTGGTATTGTTCAGGGCCCTGCTCCACTCAATCTTCATGTCCCAGCTTATTCCTTCAAGGATGACACCATTGTGATCGGAGCCTAGAGTGATTGTGTAGTTAGTAGAACTGATATTGTACTGCACGTAAGTATATATTCTATATGCGTATTGTTTTGAATAGACGTTTATGGAATGGATAAAGATAATTAGGTAATTACAGCTGATGTTCTCCTCCATAGTAATAAAGTTGAATGTTGTAAAACTTCCATTAAGACGTTTCAAAACTATTTTAGAACAATCTTATAACCTCGAAAACGCGTCGAAAAATCACTAGAATCCTGATAAGGGTCGTGTTTGTTCAATGCTACAAGTGTACACAAGACTATTGATCGTTGAAGAAACACTCATTTATGAGCTCGAAGTGAATAACGATTCACTATTATTCTATATATATATATATATATATATATATATATGAATCACTTTCCAATCGTTTCGTATAATTTATTAGTTTCTCTAGAACATAGAGAGCTCTCCCTAAGTTCTATTGAAACTGCCAATGTGGTTTGGTTCCCATATTGGCTTCATGCTGATCACTAGTGCTTATGAAGCAACGTAAACCTCACCTGATTTCATCGCTTCTGACGATTCAGATTTTACCAGGATAGTCTATACACGGCAATATAATCGATAAGCGCCACCAATTGTTCCCTATACCTGTTTTACATCGTCCCTTCATCGTCTCACACTCGCATACCCATTGTCATTCGTTAAAGGTTGTTTCCTTCTAGTCATAATACGTCGATGTTATAACATTATGATTTTTACGTCTGAACAATAACATATTGCTTTTTATTTTCTGTCAACCAAAAACCTCATGTGCACAAGCTGATTTAGAACTGAATAGCTGCATTTTGTTCCGCAACGTTGGTAGATTCTCAAGCATACTCTTGTCTTTTATTTTATTGATTTGATAAGCTCTCTAAAAAAAACTTTTTTTTTAAGACATATCATGGTTCCGAACCTTTCTGTTTTCAAATATCCCCTTGGAGTTATCCGAGTGGTTGAGTTCGTAAGTGATTTTACGCCTTGATGCTTTTATTTTATCAAAATGTTAAGCTATTCATTGTTTTGGCGATAGCTGCAGTGAATAGTTGGTCAGTGACTGTGAATGCTGATTGTCCTGTTCAACCAACAAACAATGAATCAATTAAAGTTCATATTGAGGCTCGCACGTTCACGTCCGTTTCTGTTTGAGTTAAAACTTTGATAGTTCCTCATTTCAGACTAAGCGACGTGAAAGTTCAGAACTGCAACAAGACGGAGGTTACTTTCTGGAAATCAGATAATAATGCTGGAGGGTTAGATAAACTTCCCTTTTTCTCCTTAACAATTGTTTTTTTTAAGTAGCGCTGGATTTTTCTACTTTACAAACGTTACGGCACTCATATACGTTCTCGTTATAACTTTCATATATGTTATTTTCTGGGAAGTATATCAACACGAGAAACGTCTTGCATTAGCCGTAGGATTAGAATTTAAAAATATTTCGTAATTTCTAATTTCAGGATCTTGCAATCACTGCTCTGTTGTTTGTTTTCTTTTTCTTCTGTTCTTCCATTTGGTGGGCTGGATCTAACACCTTAGGGTCTGCAACAAGGTAATTTATATCGATCACTTACTTCTTCAATGAGCACCCGAAATGATTTATTTTCTTTTTTCTCTTGTAATTAATTGGAAAGGTTCTATCGCATTTGAAAGCTCATTTTTTTCAGTGAAAAGACCATAAACGAACTCCTAACTGTAGACGGATTCTGGGGACACGGAGGTCCAACACTTTCCGCAAGTCGAGATACGAACAACGGAAAACTGGTGATATCTGTGGTAAATGAATAATTTCATAAACAGAAAAGTATGATATCATCTTAGATCTGCGACTGGGCTTGCGTTTTGCTCTTTGCGTTCAACTGCTGGTTCGTCTGGAAGGAAATAGTACCCCGACCAGCAGAAAATCCTAGTCAGATTGCCTAAATGGTAACAATTTTTAAGAGAGCTATCTTGAACATCTATTGAAACAATTTAATTATTTGAGATTTTGCTCAATAAATAAAAATGATAAATTTTCTGATCTAAAACCTAACATCTAACATGAGTTTAACAAAAGCTTCAAGCTGTGACTCGGTTCGATTTTCGCAATGAGCTCCAACATCTAAAAAATCTCTCTGTTTTTTCTCAAACATTTTTACTTACTTGCTATGAATAGATTCCACAACGCTCTTGATTTTTGGTATAATCTTTCTGTTCATTAAAGCTATGAATACCCATGTCCACACTGGCATAAAAGATATCAAGTACAAAGGAAACAATTGCTCTGAAGAATATTATTTACAAAGCTCAACCATTTTACCTAACTTAGAATATAGAAGTTTCTGCGGCCCTGAAGTCTGTAGGTAGCACTTAAGCCAGTGATCAGAGCTGGGACTATTGGAGGAAAAATAGTAGATAGTGAGAAGATTAAACTGATCGAAGCCTATAAGATAGTAACTGTAAAGCATCTAAAAAATTGTTTCACCTCAAACTGAGAACCAAATGGCGAACTAAAGAGAGAGAATATACTTGGCAATAAAAGGCCGCCTAATAATTGGAACGAGGAAAAGCAAGCCGATAAACTATCATCACTCTTTGCAGAAATCATGTATATGAAAGGCAAAGAGCTTATAAGCGCAATTGAGCTAGAAGATATTGTTAATCTGAAACTATGAATCAAGATTACAACAACACTGAAACTCACAAGCTGACGAAGACACCATGATGTGGGAACACAACCAAAGTTGTGCAAACTGTTATTAGTGAAACAAAGATCAGAAAGTCAACAAGAGATGAAGTCAACCAAAACTGTAGCGGTTTCTTCGCACCAATGTTGTCAAAACTGCTTGTTTCTCGTGTGAACGTTGTGATATGCGAAACACAAAGAAGAAAGTTCAGTCCTACCGCCAGAATTTCTAGCCAGTTATCCGATCTGAACATCATAGTTTAACATGATGATCCACGCTCAGTGCTCACATTGCCAAAGATATAACAGGCAGAGGGATCCCGGCTAGGTTGTTTGAATTATCGAAAGCATCAATAAGATATCGCCATTTTGGAGAATAGACTGTCTCGATTGTTACGTTCACTTTGAAATCTGGATATCGTACTTCAGATATTCGAAGACTTCCTGGGTCAGCATACCTTTATAGAATAAACTTTGCCAAATCTGATTCAAAAAAAGTTCGGAAATGATTGAGGTTGCATAATAACACAGGTACGTTACATTTCCTCGTTGCACAGCGCCTAGAAGAAATGATGAAGGTGCTAATGAGAGTGACAGTCTACCGAAATTGTATTGAAGATGTTCGGTCAGGTAAGAACAATACGAAGACATGTTTTTCTCTTCCTTAAATACAGAAAGCTATAGAATAGTGAATTGAGATTTAAAACACTTTTTCCGTCACGAAAAAATAGCTGTTTTCCCGTTCTTGCATATACAATTGAGTGTTAATATAACCTGAAACAAAATATGAATGGAACAACCGGAGAGTGAGCTGGAGATACCTTTGTTGAGAGGTGAGCGGTTACTAAGAATGCTTACTAGAATTGATAATAAAGGAGGTAAAGCAAACGATAAAAGACAGGCTAAAGAATTTTGAGAAAAAAATTTCAGTTTCAAGTCAATTATATTGGATAAATCGGGAAGAACTGTGCAAAGCGCCAGTTTTGACACTGAAAGTTAATAAATAAAGTTGTTGTTGATAAGAAAAAGTAATTTTCCTACTTTTGTCCACAATACTGTAGCTGTAGCAGGATGGAGAAGATTCAACATTGCAAAATCTGATTTGCCCAATTCGGTTTCTTACATTATATATAAGATACCTGATATAATCATCTATAGGGGTAGAAATCTTCAATTCACAGTTTTCAATGCCCAAACTCTGTTCTGTTTTGAGTAATTTCAGAAGCTTCGTATACCTTAAAATCAAATCTGTTGTTGTATCATGACTTGCGTACTTTATCAGGGATATTGATGGTGCTTTGAAGGTCAAAACACCTTTGGGTTGTCTATCACTGACCAGACGCCCTTTGAATTTCGAACCAAGACAAGCACAAACTTTTTTCTAAACATTTTAATAGATTTTTAAAAGAGCCAATTAGACAAACTTTGATGGCAGATATTTGTGCCGCGTCTAGATGTAAGCGAGACCACAGTATCAACACTTGTGATCTGAAACAAGAAGACAGATGAGTAAGGCCGGCAGAAATACTCTTTGCGACATTCAGAAGAGGAAAGTTGACGCCAGACTTCTCCATTAGCTAAGAGGACAAGTGAATCTGCTATTCTACTGGCTACACTTAAGCTGTTGCAAGTGAACACAATTGCTCTGAAAAAGTGAAGTTTTCAAATAGATTCAAAACGTTTCTCTTACGACCTTCCTGTTTTCTGTTTTCGCAAGAAGCGGTTTAGTTGCGCATGAACAGTAACATCGCAGCTGAACGGTTCATCCAGAAGAATGATGCTGGCGTTGCTCAAAAACGTGAACATTACTTTCAACAAATGTTTGTCATTATTTTTGAGTCCATGGTGAAACAAATGACCAATAGAGACAAGTCCGAGAACATCCATCATCTCATAGTAATCTACATTCTCGGCTTGCCGAGCGCGGATCAACAGCTCGATATGTTCCATAACAGTCAAGTATGGTAACATATACAAATCCTTGGAACAGCTTATGATTTTGTTCTCGCCCTGGAATAAAATGATTCTACTCTGAAAACTCGGAAAAAAATACCAAAACTGTTCCGTCAAACACAAAGGTTGAGCCTGTACACTCAACATCACCTCTGATTGTTTGTAACAACTCTAGGCTTCCCTTACCATGAAAGGCTGTAATCTAAACCTCATTATAATAGAATACAAGTAAATTGCCTTACCTCTTCTTTGTGTATAGACAAATTTATTTCAGAGAGTAGTTTTTCCTGTCTTCTTGTAACTCTCACATCAGAAAGTTCCATCAAGGGGATCCTGGTGTCAGATATGGCACTGGTAGACAGTTTTAGCCTATGGGAGGGTGATTTTTTCTTCCGTAAAAAAGCTTTCTCTCTGAACATTGTCCACATGAGCATCAGCAAACAATCGAATATAAGTATGAAGACTAATGAAACAGAGAATGCGTAACTCATCTTACGAAATTTATCTGTAATATATATACATCTTCTAGAATGAGTATTTTCTCCTACCTGACATTATCGAATTTGCTGTAATTCTCATATAAGCTTGATACGCAACAGGAAAAAATAATGTAGTAATATAAGTTAAAGGAGAAGCGGGTAGAAAGTCGTTCCAACCGAAGGAACAAAAACCACAGGCAAGCAATAATCCGAATAAAACTAAACTATTGGTACATAAAAAAATATTTAAAAATTACCGGCTCCAGAAGCATGACGACTTCGGAACGTTGAGCAAACGGAGAGGCAGAAAGCTGTTAAGTTGAACGAAATTAAAGTAGAGCTTATCAGAAAGCTGTGAACGTCAAGAAATTTCTGAAAAATAGAATCATTTATGATAGTAGAGAAGTTAGTACCGAGTTATAGATGAATATAGGTAGCCAGAACAGTAGTTGCACCACGAAAAATTTGACTGAGTACAGTAAAAAATGCGACAGAACATAGGTGGACATTTTCACAATTTTCAGATCATTTAACAAGTGCTACGCAACAATATAAAAATTGTGAAAAAAGCAAAACAACCTTCCCCTTACATTCTTCTTCGTCCTGATATAATGATATGAAATGCCACACGGCTGGACTGCACACGCCGATGGACACTAAGGCAAGAAAGTGATATGCCTTCATTAGAGAAAACTTGAAAACAGGCATGGCAACAATATACTTTCTTGTATTATAGATATTCAATTCTAACTGAACCAAATATAATACGATTGTTGACGAGGCAACACTCACGTATCTTGACAATCCTTCGACTATACCCTCTTGAATATAAGAAATCAAACCATCATTTTCATCAATAATATCGGACCGGAGGTCCAGCGATAAAACACTCCAGGGCGAATACAGGTTCCTTAAAAGATTGGATTCAGAGAAGAGATTCAAAAAAGAAGAAAATAAATACTTTTTCAGCTTATAAGATAAGTTAATTATTCGGAAAGCCAGCTCGTGTGTGTAATTGTTGAAATTATCGATGACCACAAATGCTTAAAAGGAGAAATATTAATTTATCAAATAAAAAAATTCTAACTCTGGTCAGGTTGAAACGATGAAATTTCCGACATATAGTGATGCTCAAGACACTGCACATCAAAATGCTTCACGTATTTCCAGGCATCATACAGAACATTGCAGTTGTGGTAAAACACCTAGAAGAGACCATGCTCGTGTTGAATGAAGTAGTACCTGGAGTGGAGATACAGAAATATCAGACCGTCTTATAATATCGGTGTAAACAAATTCGGAAGATATCGACCCATCAAACTTACTCCATGACTAAACTATGACGTAAATTTTAAAAAAGAAAATCCTTACTGTCTGTGTGAAAACGTAAACTGCGAGCAAAGAAAAAATGACAGGAACGAAAAATTGCGCAAGAAACAGGCGGATGTTCCTTCGTTCAATCACAAGAACACCTAGCCAAAATTTGAGAAGTTCATCATTCCCTTAAAATATAAACGAGTTAAACACAATAAATATTAATCACCCATGACGCGAAGTACAAAGCAATCAAATGCGCTATGAATTATCGCACACACGTGAGATTGCCACGTAAAATATGTAAATTCCTGTTGCAAATCATCAGGATTGAGAAAAATGAGTGTTTATTTACTTTCTTTAACAGATAAAAAAAACAATTGAGAATATATTAATTTCAAGGACTAACTCCTTGCAATGCTCTAATCCACCTATGTGGTATTAGAACCTTCGCTCCAAACTTCTTTGACTTGAGCGGGATTTCCCTTGCGTCGTTCTGAAGAAAAGAAAATACTGTGAGCTTGGTTTTTGAATCAGACCTCGAGCCATCGTATGTTCTGCCTCAGTTTTTCATTCAACTCTCTAGACTTAAGCGCTAGCATTGGTCTGGTTACTCTAGATAATGGCGGCAAGGGATGTAGTCGTTGGACCACTATGGGCGGATCCAAAAAGTTTGACTTTCGACTAACTAAATAAAAGTCGATGAATTATTGAAAGAATTGGAAAAAAGGAACCATTAGAGTCTGATGACGAAGAGATTTGGTTTGCTTTACCGGAGTTCGGCTTCCTTAACTTATAGATTTCCGAACCAAAGTTTTTTTCGGCGTTCGTCACAGCTATGTTCTCTCCTTCACGTTGGCCTAGCTTGTTGTTATTTACAGCGTCCACTGTGAACTCCTGATACGTGTCAGATCTTTTACAATCACTTACAAGACTTCGACGAAAAATCTTCATCAGGTGCATCAATTCCACCTAGACATTCAGAATAGTAGCCATCTAGAGAATTCAAGAATTAATTCTATGAGAAATTCGCCTGCGCACCCGGTCCTTCTTTTCTGTTTCGTCTGTCTCCAAATTTATTTCTACGCCGTTGTCGTCTATAGTTTTTTGATGCTCGGGATGTTCTTCTAGGATAATTTATTGAGGTCTCTTTCTTTTTCTTCTTCTTCTTAGTAGTTTCTTTCTTACTCAATTTGCCTGATGCCTACAGAATGGTTGTCAAGTTTAAGAAGTGAGTAAGAGGTTCGTTACTTTAGATTGTTTTTTTTGTATTTTACTCGAAAGAGCGGGTCTAGGATCTTTCTTAGAACTGACTTGTGGCTCTTAAAGGCAATTTATCTCGTTTATAAACACAACCTACTTGTTATGGCCCATATTAGCAGAGGAACGAAGCCAATTGTGCCTAGTATGAAGTATATCTCATACATACAACCGGTATATCAAAATGTATTCCGATGAATGAAAGTTCCAACCTCCGAGCCCATCTCATCAAGTCCCAGAAAACTAACTTCTGCATACTTTCGTCATTCGGTGCTTCAGTACTTTTCGCGTCTCATATGTTGCCGTTGTAAATGTCGTTACCTTTGATCTGATAAAACTGTTGAGCAATACATGACTAAGTGTTAAAAATGGAATCAACGAAGTATGCGTCAAACACTTATGATATAAGAAAAAATAGCTTTCGCTTGAATCCTGTAACCAGTCTGTTGTTCCAAACTTGGGTATGTAACTGTGGATGATTCTCTGATTATGAACAAGCTATTCTTTCAGCAATTTTTAGTTTATCGCAAGCATCTGCTTGCCAAGAAATCGTGAAACCTTATCAGTAGAAAAAGCGCTAAAGGGTCAGTCTAATTTTAAAATCTTCGCAATATTGATTCATATTTCATTTCTTCAGAACTATTCCCATCTGATCTTCGTTTGTCATCAAACGCTGTTCTGTGTTCAGGGTATCAGCTTTAACAATGACAACCTTCCGTCTTGGCCCTCTTCATAATATTCCAGCAAACCGTCGCACACCATATGTTCAAGCTGATGGGATCGTAACACCACATGGTTATCTTCGTATTGTAGAGATGGTTCGTTATTTACTTGTTGATTTGTATTGTAAACTGGAGACTTTGAAGTTTAACCAGTGTTTCGTGTCTTAACAGAGGTAGTTTTATAACACTCTTTCAGGTCCTAGGTATTGTTGCAGTGATTCTAATTAGTTGCTGGCATCTTGATCTCGATTATACCTGTAGGCACGAGAATCAAACTATTTATGGCTATCAAGACTCTATAACTTCATTCACGTAGGCTCTAGAGAAATTTGCATTCATTCTTCCTTTAAGATTAACAGGTGTTCAACTACATGATTGTGACGGTTCATATCGAACCCTTTGGCACCATAATGATAATGCTGGAAAGTAAGAGCAACATAATCTTAAGCTGACCAAAAACCGCTTTTCAGGCGTTTGATATTCTTTAACCTAATCAGTTCCATAGAACTAGGTCTATCGTCAGTAATAGTCATAATATATTTATTGTTTTGGGGACAATACTGTCGAAATGAAATATTCCCCCTTTTGGTATATCGCTGAGAATCGCTTTTTTTAACTCAAAAATTAAGTACATAGCTACGTCGACTATGATGACAATCGTTTTTCTGATTTGTACTGTCATCTGGTGGACTGCTATAACTGACATCATAACGGCAACAAGGTAACTCACTCACTCTCACTTTATTCAGTGGATGAGCTTGGACATCTTCAGCAAAGATTATATTGAAAATTTGTTAACTGAAAATGCTGGCTTCTGGGATCAGAACAGTGAGAACATGATTCTGTATGTGAATTGCAACCATTGGATGCTCATTGTGTCAGGGGTACGGTTCTTGAACATATCTAATATTAAATGAAGTTCCTAATCAGATGTTTCCGTTTTGCGCGTTTGTTTTGAATTTGGTGAGCTCAGGTTTTCTTTTCGGCCGTAAGTAACAGATACAGGCATGAGAAAAAATTTTTGTTTAGATTTAATGGAAAGGATATACCCAACGTAACAACAGTCAACAAGTATAATACAAATTGTAAAAACAAATGTGAAAAAAACAGATAATAAATGTAATTAGTAATATGTTTGGACTAGTACGTAGGAAAGTTAACATCAATCAACTTCGCCCAAGAATCATAACCTCCCCGTACATCTTGAACAGGGTTCGGTTTCATTTTATCCCTGAGCAATTCAACTCCCAGCTGCGAATCGTTTCCACGATGACATATTACATATACTGAAAAGTACCTGTGATACCTTCGCTTTCGAGAACTTACTATGACTCTTGTTCCCTTCTTCTAAGCCCAAAACTTGGCGTATTTCGTCTGCGGAATACTTTTTGAGAAGGTTCAAAGTCAAATCTTGAAAAAAATTAATTATGTTATTCTTCGAACAGTTAAAATTCAACTTTTCGCTTCTGGTAAGTTTGCAATATCAAACTCATTGGTAGGTCTTGTATCAATCAACAGTGGCTTGCAGTTTTTTCTAAGCTCGTTATAATCATGCACAGATACCCTTTCATCGTCTAGCAAAATATTCAAGGAGGGTGCCTACATGGGAATATACTTTGAATATTAACTCGTTCTTACTTTATCATCTGCGCTGGCACCACAAAAAACGTTATAGTCGATTAGCTCAGTAACTGTTGGAGCATCACCACAAACGGCACATGCTGGAGACCTTTTTCGGATATTTACTGCTCTTGTTTGCCCCTGTAGTCCAGAGAATAAGAATAACTTTCCAGAATAAGACGCTGAAATTGAAAAAGACGAATAAAGTTGAAAAATTAGTTCGAACGTTCCAATCCTGACGCAATCTTGATAACTTCTAGTGCTTGCATGCATCCTATAATTCCCACTACTGGTCCCAATACTCCTCCTTCCGAGCAATTGGTGACCAGTGAAGCATCGGGAGGACAGGGATACAAGCATCTATAACAAGGTCCCTCCTATGGCAGAAAAATGTTATACGTGATTTTTTTCAGCAAACCTTTCCGTAATGATATACAGTTAATTGACCATCCCATCTCAAAGCACTACCACTAACCAAAGGCAAGTTAGTTAAAACACAAGCATCATTGATCAAGTATCTGATATGCATACTTAAGTAGTTTTCTTATAAAAATTACCGAGTGGCGGGATTGTCACTGCAATCAGCAACAATATCATACTGTTTAACAATTTCTAGACAGTTTTGTCTGTTAAGCAAGACATTGTGGCAAATTACTTTAACTAAACGATTCAAACTGAAACACGAGCTGTAAACTGTTTCAGCATTATGAAAACCTTTCGATGGATTCCTTTAGAGATTCTGTCTTCGGCTTGCCGACATTCTGTTCTTTATGAGCGACCTGTCTATGAAGATTGTCTTCAGAAACCTATGATATTTCAATTGTAGAAAAAAAAAAGTTAGTTAGGTTACGTGATCATAGTCAACGATTCCAATAGTTCCAACGCCTGATCCTGCTAAATAAGTAGCTACAGGACACCCAAGACCCCCCGCTCCTAAGATTAATACTTTTACGTTCTTCAGCTTCTCTTGACCTGCAAGAACAACATATCAAGCAGGGAAAAAATAAGCTTCGCACTTTGAACACCAAAACTATTTACCAAAAGCTGTCGGCTATACTTTCCAACTTCATCTCTGGTTAGTGAATGCTGCATTTCAAGATTATTCTCAAAATCAGGTCTGATAGATGAAGCTCAGCACTAGTTAACATGTAAAACCAGGGGGAATATGTGCGCAAAGGAAGTTCATTGGCGCAAAGCTCGTCAAACCTAACCCTGTGTCTTTCCTGATTCTGTTAATATGAAGATGGAATGATTAACTTTTTTATTTTTATGATATTCCTAGTTTATATCAGGTTTTTGTTTACAGCAACATGCTGCTCCGGGTAGGTGGACGTGCTCTGCAATGGAGAGCATTAACACCATTCCGTGGTCTTGCTTCTCATGGTCATGGACATGGCCAAGAGGCTAATGTCGAAAGAAAACCCGACTTATATAGGTAATAATTTACCGATTGGTGAGTTTATTTTCTGTTTTATTTTTCAGACCTGGATCAGACTCATATGCATATGAGAACCCATGGCCTAAGCTTAACAGTGGTCGTCTTGACTGGCTATTCGGTGATGGCTGGAGGAGACCTCTTGCTAAAGATCAAGGAGCTAAAATGGTTAGTTAAATTTATTAATTTCGTCGAAAGTTATGTTCGCATTTTGTTAGTTACTAATATAGTTGATACTGGTACTACTTTTGATTATCTACTTCTTAAGTCTATGGACTTATCACAATATTATAGCTTCCAAATATTCATTTCTAGTTATTCTGATGCATGACCGGTTGTGCTGCTTTTGGCTCTAATTTTTTTCTATTCTAGAGACGTGAATGGATTTGGTTCTCTCAAGTTGCTCACGATGAACACAAGGATTGGCTCAAGTTCCACCAGGTAGTACATTACTATGAGTTTTAAGTTCAACATTTCTTTAGGTTGCTTTCTTATTATTCACTGTGTTGACAACATGGTTCACATGCTGGATTATGTTCGCTCGACCTGATTGGTATGTTTATTGATATTGAAATCTTTAAAATTTCTATTTCTAGGCCAATGGGTCGTGAATGGGCTCTCCGTGAAGCTCATTTAGAAATTGCAAGAAGAGAAAAAGCTGGCCTTCCACTCATTAGTCCTGATTTGATCCCAAGGTTTGATAGGTCATATTAAACAACTCTATTATAATGCTTACAGAGACCGTGTTTTCGCTACTCTGCCTTCCGACGAAGAACTCAGAGACTTTGAAGTTCTTATTTAAGTCTGCATGGGTATAGATATATGTATTGTTGTTTCTTCAATTGAAATAGTTATATCTTTATAGAAACATTATACACTAGTTTACTAAAGCATTGTTCATAGGAACCTTGTGTATTTTTGTTTTGTAGATCTAGTTGTACAATCAATGAATATGAAACCTTCGTTTTGCTTTGATTCATTAACGCCAAGGTATACGAACGGGCTTAGGAGTAGATTGTCTTATTCGAGATTGGTCTTGAGAACTTTTCAACCTGGTTGCTGATGTACTTCGCCACAAACGTTCCCCTCGTGGCTCATTTCTGAAAGTTTAACTGAACGCTTTTTGATGCGATAGGAGCTTACCTCTTTTTCTCCAACACAGATTTCAAAGCTTGAACATCAAAATGCTCGTGTCGAGGAAACAGAAACCCATTTGGTAGAACCTCTTTGAACAGCGACGTAGCTGAAGCATATGTGTAATGAGTTCTTGACTGACAAAACTTACATCCTTGAAGTTGGATAGCATTATACCCTCTTTGAATTAAAGCAGCAGTAGTGCTCCCTGATCCTATTCCATAAATGATTAGAGCTTTACCGCCATTCCTTCCTTGAGCAATAGTGTCCGTATCAAAATGATTGCGAGATAATAAACGACGATCATAATGTTGGGCTTAAACAGTGATTACGAAACGAAAGAAAAAAAAGGATACCAGAAATTATATGTTCTTTGTCATATTCAGGTTTATCGTTCACATCAATAATCACAAAGTCGCCAATAGAAATTTGTTTGTTTTCTGCCTTATATATAAGAAATTTAATCTGAAAAACGTAGTACACCTGAATTTAATACATGTTTACAAACTAATTTGAATATATCAATAGCTGGGTATGTTTCTCCCGGTAGAATCATCACTCATGAGATCGTTTGTGGGAACTTTCGTAGAAGAAAAGGCAGATTTACCAGCACATTTTGGAATACGAAAATGACCAAGAGATCGAGTTTTTCATATGAAATTCATGAGTGTGCTGATTCACTTGCTTAGATGGGAGAGAGAGCATAGCTAAATATACACGATTATAAGGCTTGGTTCCCATAGCAACCTACTACTTCCTTACGGCTTAATGTTGACGGATCGACATTGGAGTATGCTTTATACATTTAGAGATATTTGAATATTTTGAGAGTTTCATGAAGATTGTAATGTGACAAAAGTTGATTGGGAAATACTTTATAACAAATCTGCCAAGAAGAACTAATAACGTGTTCTATTTGACATGGCATGTCTCTACTAATCAAGGCCCGCCAAAACATGAAATCCAGTTTGTGAATCTTTTCGTTCATTACCTGAAGGTTGCATGCCAAGAGGAAATCTCTCTAAGTTATATTTTGACAGTTTAAAGTTGGAAAACATTCAGTTCAATAATCTGATACAAAATATCAATAAATATGAACTACTTTCTTCGTTCAGCGGACAATCCCCACATGGTTATTGTTGTTTGTATGTGTAGGAAAACGGTTTTAGCAGTTCAAAGTTCACTGAGTGCCTCAGCCTATGTCGTGAGTGGCTAGGAATAGTGCATTTTACGGCTAAAGTGATCTGTAAGAAAATGTAAAGTTTGAGGATAATTTTGATTCAACCTTTACCATCAACTAAACGGGTTCTTCTCAATAGCTTTACACCCCTAAGAACGTGTACGTTTAATCGAGATCAATGCTTGATTTCATTCAGTTCCCTTTCGTTCATTACTTAAATCTTTATGTTTTTTTTGATAAAAATCTATAGAAGTTATGAATTGAAAGAGGTTTGTATTATTTTCACAACAGATATTTTAAAATGTTTGGTTATGTTATCAGTTGTAGCGTACTTTTGAACTTTCAACGGGATGGACATTTGATAATTTCGATCAGGCGACTAGATGTTATTGAGTTTCTTTATAAATTGAAAATTGATTTCTTTGTATTCTAAAAATGTATATCAACCAGTTGAAGGTATTCGCAATTGACAGAGAGAGTTGAGATGAAAGGAAAAAAACATGTTTCATCCTACCTAGAGTCTAGACTTAAGAGCTTTCCTTACATGAACTTATAATGTAATTTCTTTATTTTAATTATACGTATAAACAGGATTTGTTATGTTCTTTCATTGCCTTAGAGGTTTTTGTGTTGTTTGTTATCTTCCAGGCATGGGAGGAATGGTGTGGATTGTAGTCTATTTTCCTTCCTGTGACTGATAACAGTCCAAATATCATTGATGAAATTAAAGTTGCTTTTATTTCTTAAATTTCCATTCATTAATTCATCTTCTTGCTTTCATCTTCTCTCTCTCTCTTTCTAGAAAGAAAAAAAATTCTTTTTACTTTAGCGATGTCGGTTCATTCAAAAATGATGGAGTTTGCAATTGATCCTCAAAAACGAAGGAGGGTTAGTCAAATCATTTTGTTTTTGTACTCAATTCATAAATTTTCAGGCGTTCTTAGCTTTTCTAATAGGGTTAGCCGGAGCAGCTGTCGCTAAACACTTAGTTTTTCCTAAAAGTATTTTTTTTCTCAAATTTCTATTTTTATCTTTGTTTTCAGATGTAAATAAGAGATATCAAGATATGAGTGTCAACTTAATTGGACAGCAAAGTCATAGCCAGAAATCCACAAAAAAAGGATTCAATCCGGAGTTTTTGAAACAGCTCAAATTTCTTTTGAAAATAATGGTTCCCGGACTGTTCACTAAAGAAGCTGGAATTATTGGTAATGATGTTGGCAGCTATACATTACGATTTATTTCTCTTAGGCACACACTCCTTGATTCTAATCTGTCGAACCTTTCTATCAATTTATGTAGCTGGCTTAGAAGCCCGAATAGTTAAGGCAATTGTTGAAAAAGTGAGGGAATGGATTGAAAGTGTTATTTTTCATTATAAAATTAAGGATGTTAACAAATTTGTTTGGCTACTCTCCACTTGGTTAGCCGTTGCCTTACCAGCAACATTCATTAACAGTATGATTCGATTCTTCGAAAGTTACTTAGGCTTAGCTTTCCGATCAAAATTAACTCAATATGCTTACAAACAATACTTTTCTGTAAGTTAAGTAAATGTCGTAAATTAACTTTTGATTCAACTTTCAGGACCAAACATACTACGCTGTCTCCAACTTAGACAGTCGCTTACAAAATGCTGACCAATGTCTCACAGAAGACATAACAATGTTTTCTCAAAGTGTTGCCCATCTATACTCACATTTAACAAAACCTGTACTTGATATTCTGCTAATCTCGTTTGTTTTCGAAGTTGTTCAAACTTTATAATGTACTTCTGTAGAATCACATTGATAACTTTGGCTCATAGACGTGGAGCCGGAACAAAAGTTATTATCCCAATGGTGTTGGCTTTCATCACAGTCTCAGGTACAGCTAGAATTCTCAAGGCTGTGTCACCAAGGTGAACACTTCAATATAATTGATGTACTTATTTTGTATCAGATTTGGAGTGATGGTAGCAGAAGAAGCAAAACGTAAAGGATTTCTTCGCTATCTCCATTCCCGAATAATCACCAATTCAGAGGAGATTGCCTTTTATGGTGGCCATGAAGTCTGTTCCCTCTGCTGAAGAGCCTAATTGACAATATTCCAGGCAGAGTATCAACAATTAACAAAAGCTTACGATGATCTAAAAGACCAAACGACAACCATTTTCTCAAAAAGAATTATTTACATTATGATCGAGCAATTCTTAATGAAATATGTTTGGTCTGGAACTGGGATGACAATGATTGCTCTGCCCATTATATCAGCAGAATATTCTAATAATGAAAGTATTTTGAAAACATATTTTTGAAAATATTCATTTGGTTCCCATAGAAAATCGATTATTGGATGACGAGCCTGATGGAGGGGTATCTGAACGTACTCGTGGATTTACTCAAGCTAAGCAGCTTTTATATTCGTCTGCAGATGCTGCTGAACGATTGATGACATCATTTAAAGAAGTTTGTTGAGAGAAGAATACTTTTTATTTGCAATGAATGGTTTCAGGTTACTGAATTAGCCGGCTATACGTCAAGAGTTTATGAAATGTTCAAAGTGTTCGATGATGCCAAAAAAGGATTATATAAGCGGACCCTCTTGACTGAGTCTGATTCTCGTGGTGGAGCCAGAGGCGAAAAATTCGATACAACTCATATAAGAGGTTAATATTTCATTTATTTTTTATCTCATAAATAATTATGAAAGGTATCGTCGAAGACTCAGCAGACGATTGTATAAGATTAATGGAAGTTCCAATTGTTACTCCCAATGGTGACGTTGTGGTTCGAAAAATGTCAATTTCTGTGAGAATCTAAGAATATTAGAGTGCAAGCATATTGAAATATTCTTCTAGATTACTCCTGATATGCATGTGCTAATAACGGGTCCAAATGGATGTGGAAAGAGTTCTTTATTCCGTATTCTTGGCGGTCTTTGGCCAGTATATGAAGGACATTTGGAGAAGCCAAAATCAAACAGAATGTATTATATTCCTCAGCGCCCTTACATGACATTAGGAACATTACGAGATCAAGTCATTTACCCAGATACGGTAGAACAAATGAGACAGAAAGGCTTTACTGATGCTGATCTCAAGAAAATTCTGTTGACTGTACATCTGGCACACATTGAACAACGTGAAGGAGGTAAGATAAGACTATAATCTGTGAAAAGTATTTGGTAAATCACTTGTTTTCTTGTAAGGCTGGAATTCTCGCAATGATTGGATGGACGTATTGTCTGGGGGAGAAAAGCAAAGAATGGGATTAGCTCGCGTGTTTTATCACAAGTAACATTTGACGAAATATGTATTTCGTACTTTGTCTTTCATATTTAGGCCACAATACGCTTTACTTGACGAATGTACTTCTGCCGTTTCGATTGATGTAGAAGGCAACATTTATCAAGCCATTAAAAATGCTGGAATCACTCTGTTTACAGTTACACATCGACCGAGCTTGTGGTATATTTACAGACATAATTTGAATGTGAATGTTCGCTTTTAATAGGAAATTCCATACTCATCTCCTTCAATATGATGGGGAAGGCGGCTATAAGTTGTCTAATTTGGCTGAAGCTAGTGGAGATATCATGTCGTTAGCGGATGAAAAGAGACAGTTGGAAGATAAACTAAAAGAATCTGACAAATGGCAGAAACGATTGAAAGAGCTTCAAGAGGTATGCAGCCAATTTTCGTATATCATTTTCATTCTATTTTTAGATTCTCGGAGATGGGAGTGATAATGTTGTGGATTCTGATTAAGTTCATGTTTCCTCTTTCTCTCTCTCTCTATGTCTCTCTCTCTCTCTCTCTCTCTCTCTCTCTCTCTCTCCCTCACTTTTCATCGATTGTTAGAGGAAGAAAAACCATAATTATAGTAATTTATAACTTTTTAAAATCTCTCGTGTATCATGCATTTTGCCATCGTCTAGCTCGTATCAGATCTAGTCATTCATTCTGTTATTTATGTTTTCTGATGTCGATTTCCGGGTAAATTCACACATTAGCTTGAAAATTATGTTTTTTTTGTTTGTTCAATGGAAATTTTTATTTTTCAGTTAATTATCACATTAAATTCATTGGATATTAAGTCCCTATCTTATGACAAAATAAACAAAAGGAAACAAAAAAAATTAACTTCATACACCGTGTAATCTAAAATACGAGCTGAGATCACAAATTTGAATGGAAATTTGAGTTGTTTTTGGGTTCTAAAGATGCGTTTGGTCCGTCACTTCAACCAAGTTTATACTTTGTTCTGATTGCGAGAAGACTATCGATGTTGTTTTATTTTTGTTTTGTAGTTGCAGCATATTCCGAGGAACTTGAGATGATGAGACTTGTGAACGACACATGTCACAAATTGCACGTGGTTTAGAACTTCCGTTCCGGCTGAAAGCATTTCTTCTTTCCTTGTTTTCTTCAGATATCACAGTTTGCTTTTTATTTTTCTCCTTTGACTGAATTTTATTCAACCAAAAAAAAAGAGATGTCTATTCAAAAGTATACGAAATCTTTTTTTCCACTTTCTCCCGCTTCGAACGTGTATGCTAATGAGACTGCGCATAATTAGCATAATACATCATCTGACTTCTTGAATTTCAGTCTGCACTTATGTAAACGAACAGAACGGTTGTTTTTTAGACACACACTCAAACATAAAAATAGAAGTTTAAATGCTGAAAACATACGGAGACATGAAGCGTGCCGAGCCATTTTCGCGATTGCTCACCATCGTAACACTCATATGATCATCAGAATTCTCTAATAATTTCATCTGAAATTAAGAATGAAAGTTAAAAAAAGTTTGAATAAATAATAAAATACTTGTAATTGAGTATTTAATAAACCATATAAGATCCAATTAATGGATGTACCAAAATAAGGCATCAGATGTATTGCAAATATCATAAAAACAACATAATCATTTGGATTATGTGGAACATCTAGTACAGACATTACTATCGCATAAAGTACAGAAAACCTGGAAATGTGAATGGTTGTTAATTAGAAAGAATATACAAAATATGATTTACCAATATGGTGTCCAACAAATGAAGTAAATGAAAGCAATCATAAGTGTATAAATAACAATCCGCTTGACTGGTATTGCAGATTTTGGAAGAACCCTAGAATATGTCATCATTAGAGGATATAAGATATGCCGGAATGTTATCATACTTTGTATGAGCATAGATCTTACTGATTAGGCGTAAATTAAAGAAAACAATCAGGATTAATGGAACCATATAAGCCAAGATAAATGTTCTGAAAATTGAAATATTGAAACAAATTGGAGGAAGCCTCCGCTTACGAGCATGTAAACCAATAAAAAACATTTGTTGGAAGTTGATCTGTGCATTTGAATACACGAACTCTCGTAACGTTATTGCTGTTCGTAGTTTTAAGTTCATGAAGAACAATTTCTTTTGGAGCAGCATAGATCAGCATGGGCAATAGAAGTATGAAGGACACTAGACAAACACCTGTAATAGTCATTTTTGAGTTTCCGTTCCCTCAGCTATCTATAGAACGTCTCTCACGGCTTCATCAAAATCATTTTCAGCCTAGCCAATCTTTTATCTTTCATCATTGGATTTGCAAAATAAGCATTCTTTCCTTCCCCCATCCCCTCTCTCTGTCTCTCTGTCTATGTTTCTTTCTCTCAATTCCCTCTCTCTCTCTCTGCATTCCCTTTTTTCAGGCCATTTAGCAGCAGAAAAAAATCGGCTCAAAACAAACGAAAAACAGCTTTTGTCTAATAAGCCAGTACTTACAGGTGATAACGGTTAAAACAAATTTTCGACTTCGTAATCGGTGATGATGTGGAAGACAAACAGCTACATAACGATCAAAAGACATGGAAGTAATAAGGAATGTGGAAACAATCCGTCCAACACTTCCACAAACATGATGAAGCTTGCACATCCAAGTGCCAAACACCCAGAATCCAATGACGCTATCCTGAATAATATGATATTATCATTATTGTTGTTAATTATATAATGGAAGATTAGAGAGAAAAGAAAAAAAACTAACAATTATCGCTGGTGGCAGGCTTAAACTAACTAAGAAATCACATATACATAAAGCTGCTATATATAATATGGCATTATCTCCTGATCTTTTAGATCTATCTGATATTCCTTAAATGAAATGAAGTAAAGTTATAAGATGTATAGTATGTATAACAAACGTTTTCTTTCATTCATAACTCCTCGTATAATTGTTAAAATAGAAGCATTTCCACATACTCCAACAATAAAACAAAGAATAAAAACAGTTACAACAACTAAAACTCTTGGTTGAAGATCCTATAAATATTTGATGAATGTTCAATACAGAATATTCCATAATTAGATGTGTTTTTGATCAGAAATCTCTGAGATATCAATGGAACATTGCATTTTTATTATGAAAATAAACAAATTCTCAAAGTTTAAATGAATTATTCAGATGCTGAGGACTTCCTTCTGAGAAACAGACGACTATATCATTCTATGCTTTCCCTTTTAACAGAGAAGGAAACAAATCTTTTGCGGACAACTTTAAGCACTTTCAATGTTTTCAAATCAAGAACAACTTGACCATGATTGGTACACACACATACCACACACACTATTTCAAACTTTTAACTGAATATCCACAGAAAATCAGAAGAATTCTCTTCACGTTTTCTCATCAAAATATCAAATCATCTCCATGGAAAAGAGAGAAAAGCTCGTGATTTGGCGCATAAGTTTTCCTTCGTGACATTCTATTTTTTGCAAAAAAGGAAAGTTTCATTTCGCAATGAAGTGAAAACATAAGGCAAAAAACTTTATTCTACATTCCTTTAAAGGAGCTAAGAGACTACGTAGATATATGAGATGGAGAGAAGCTGAGATGGTCATGAGAGCAGTCTAGCCTCAGGCTGTGTTTTTTCTGATTTTTGTCCCCTTTTTTTTGTTCAATGAAAATCATTTATGTTTCCAGTAAACAGAGAAACAATGGAAAGTTTGTGTTTCTCTATTGAATTGGAAAAAAAAACGAAACTTTACCTGTATGGGGGGATAAACACTCCGAACTTGATACATCTCACCATTCGCTTGTATGCATCTGAAAGAAAATGTTTCTTATCATCTTCGCTCACGAAACTAATTTTCCTATTCAAGATGTTTTCTTTGAAAAATCTCGAGAAAAAAAAAATATTTAACAAGATGTTATAGGATTAACAGTCCTTATTAATCAAGAGAGGAAGAAGGGGAAAGAGATAGGCTTCAGAACAGATTGAAAAGAAAAACAGAAGCGAATTTGAGGAGGGAGAGAGAGAAAGGATTTCTGTGAAAATGGAAAAGGTAGGAGCAGCAATTAGTAGAAAGACTGAAATTGAACAAGAGACATGAAGAGAAGGAGAGAATCGTAGGTCAGAAATTTTATTTTCTGATCTATTAACAATAGGGATAGGACGTGAGAAGAAGCAGCAGAAATCTCCTTTTACGGAATTTTGCTTTTTGTTTTGAAAAAAAAAATTTCAGCTCTCATCGCATGCTGACAGAACTAAAAAGTTTTTTTTCCGACAAAAATTGTACTTCTTCGTTGAGAAATGAAATTTTGAAATTAAAAAAAAAAAAGAAAAAAGGAAGCAAAAGAGACAATACTCGAGACAAATATCCCAAAAAAGTTCGTAAAGAAGATAAACATGATAAGCAGATGAAAAAAAAATAGATAAGTTTCCATGTTGAAAATGGAGAATCTGTTCTATCTGATCAATGATTTGTATGTTTCATTGGAAAAAGAATGTTTTTCATTTTTAGCAAAAGAAGATTTATTAATGTTTTTTCGTAAAAGTTCAAGAATGATTATTAAGTAAAGAAAACAAGATTTTTCTCATTCTGAAGAAGAAAAAAAGAAGTAATTTGAATAACTTACTCTTGAAATCCGTCTGTTGGATATCCATTCGTTCCTTTACAATTATCCATCTGAATAGGAGTCATGGACATCCTGGCCAGAAATGGGTAACTGCAAGATGTGTAAATGACACACAATAATTTCATAAAAATAATTTTAATCAAATTTTAAGAATAGCAAAGCAAGTCTACATATCAGAATTGAATTAATGTCTATCTGCACTCTTATCAAACAGAAAAAAACAAACGAAATAAACGAAAAGCATAATGTTTTTTTTTCCATTTTACCAAAAAAAGCTATTTCAATCATCTCTCTTAACTGCAATATCTAAACAAAAATCCTAAAACTACAATTTTACTATGAATTTTGCATAGCCTCTTCCTCTTCCTCTTTCTCACTCTTCTCACTCACTCTCTCTCTCTCTCTCTTTCTTTCTTTTTTTTTTCTCTCTCTCTCTCTCTATTGTTCCGTTACTAAACCAAGAATTATGAAAAAATATTTCAGCTTAAACACATCAGGCCATCCATATATGGGCTGAAGCAAAAAGTGTGCTGAAATGAAGATCGAGAAATCCCCGCCCAGCTTACTTACTCCGCCTTAAACAGATGCTTGTAAAGCCAGCTGACTTATAAGATAAATTTGTTCACTTGTAAGGCTTCATTGGCCTTTTCATTACATTCATCTCTCTGTCGTCACTTCCCCAACAACTGTCATTGTTCAAACTTTCTCACGTGAAGTTGTATAATCTCACGTGGATTTTAATTTCACGTGAAAACTCATTCATAGTTCGAACATAGGGCAGAACGGTTGGGCATGGATATCTACTTCCCATCTACTCTCTATCTCTCTCCCTCTCACTCTCTCAATCATTCTTTCATATTTTTTTCTCGTTCTAGAAATTATTTCTATTTTCAACAAGAACTCTCTTATACTTGGAGTTTCTTTTGCAAGCGGTCATTAAACACAGTAAAAGGCATTTGAATCAAACATGGGAGTTGGAATTAAGCTTAAAAATTGAATTAGCCATACGTAAAGAGATAATAGTTATAAATAGATTCATTATTTGCTTAACATTATGTACTTTATAGCTAATTTATTCAATAAAAAATGAGAAAGCTTGCTATTCCTTATAAGCCGCTTGTTAATCGAAAGCTTCGATAGGCTTTCAGCTTTATATAGCTCTAGGCTATTTACTTACTCGACTGGTTCATCCATCTGTTTCGGTTTTCTTTCACCTCACGTTCATTATTTAGTCAAATAAGAGAGAAAAAACAAATTGTGTGAATTAAAAAGAAAATCGTCTAATCACTATCACGAATGACATAACGGATATCTCCATGTTTCTTAGAACAGGAAAGGATGAAGCCTTTTGGCAAGATGAATAGTATTGAAAAGAAAGACAGCGAAAAAAAAAAATTCTCTTCCTCTCTTTCTCCTGCTTTTCATTCACAAACAAACGATTCCGATCGAAAATGTTAAAACAAGAAAGAAATTACTTAATTAACTCAATATCTGCTCCAATGGCTACCACTCATTCAACATTTTAATTATACTTTCCTACAATTCATAAATTGCTTGAACTTGTGAAATCTTTGAACATGAGAAATGAAAATTCTCTGAATCGGATAAGCGACGAAGAAAAAAGAAGGAGAGAAAAAAAAGAAATTTTTCTTTAAAAATAAAAGTTCATAAAGGTTTTTGTGTATCCTCTTCCTGTCTCTCTTTCCCTCTCTGAAAATGTTTTGCACATGTTTCTACATAATTAAGTCAATCTTTCTCACCAAAAAAATCTGAGGTTACTTTGACGTACTACATTTTCATCTATCTAACAACCTATAATCAAATGAATGAGATGAAATATGTTTATGCTCACTTTTCAACAAATTAATTTTATGAAATTTAGGAAATCTCTCAAAAAGTTATGATTGCCAACAAAACAATTCATAATCTCTGAGGGTGGGGATTAAGGGGTTCTCATTCTCTCTATCTCTGTCAATCTTCTTCTGTTTTTTATTTTACTTCTCCCCGCTCTGATGTCAACTTAATAATTAAAAAAAAATTTTGTATAAGAAAATATTTGAATTATATTCATTTTGTTCACAAACATCTGATTTTCAACAGATCACAACCGTCAATTGAGATGAGAAGCTGAACAAATTGCGTAAGTTCGCATTCAACTAAAAAGGAAGTTTTGCAGTGAAAAAAAAAAGCTAAAATATAATTATAAGATGACACATAGCTTCTTCTTTCTTTTAAAGAAAAATATTTTGAGAGAAAAATCATTTCAATCGTCTTTTGCATACTCAACAAAATAAAAGTCACACACACACATACAGACACACACACACACGCACACACACACACACACACAGAAGAAAAGAAACACAAAAATGATTTCGGCTCATTTGAATGTGAGAAGTGATTTAAGCTGTTTCTGGCTAATTCTCCTTCCTACATCACATCATTGAAATTCAAACAAAATTTTTGCAAAATTAAGGAGAATTGATGGTGAAGGATGTTAAATAGAATAGAAAAACCAAAATGAACACAGCTTTCTTCCATTCATATGAAATGATCATCGAAGTCAAATAAGAATCGAAAATTGAACAGAGAGAACCAGAGAATAAAAAGTGTTCAACGTAACAGATTATAAAGAGACCGCACAACCGCTCAGTGCTTTTGAACAAGTTGAAATGAAGCCTTTCTCACGTAATGCACGTAGATATTTCCACGTAAGATTTCAATTGAGAATCATTCAATAATTAAGTTGAAAACACTCAAACGTAGGATATGGTCACAGGAGAGAGAGAGGGGGGAGGAGACTCTTAAAATATAGCTGAATCTTTGATTTGTTACATAACGATATATAAATTATAGAACAGTTTAATTGTAGAAATTACATGTCTAAATATAAACAATTGAACAACTAATTAAATAATTGATGAAAGCTTTAAATAAATTGTATAGAATTAGAATTAAGGAGTTTTAATATTAATAAGAATAAATTGTTCAGATTGTTATGGAAACAGAAAGTCATTCCTAGCTAAAGGTTGTTCAGCTTTGCCAAAAAAAAAACAGAAAAAAATGAAAAAAGAAGAAGTTCGATTGCCCTCCAGTAGTTATGCCCTTTCAACTGCATTTTTGTTTTATTTGCTATCTCAACTATCACAAGTTTCATCGAAGATTCATACACGAATGCTTTTTTAGTCAACAATGTTTTGAGATTTTGAACATTTTCTCTTTTATTTTGAGAAAAGTTTTAGTTTTCAATCTCTCGCCCCCTTTCAATTCTTTTCTTCTCAATTGTATAACACCTTTTCTTAATTGATCTCAAAAATGAAGTCTTACACACGAAATATATATTTGAAGGCTCAACTCATTCAAAATTCCAAGAAGAAATTGAGAAAAATTTCGAACAAATCAAAAAAAAATTTAATTATTAGCACATAATAGCAGTTTGTGAATCAAAAAATAGTCTGCTCAACTCCTTATTCGAACAAAATAGTTTTGTTCCAGTTAAACTTAAAGAATTCCGAGTCACAACTGAATAATACAAGAGAGTTGGAACAAAAGTTTTTTTTTAAAAAACCACGAAATTACAATGCTGTAACTATATGAAAACAAAAAGTAGAGGTGAAACAAATCCATATTGTGGTGGTAGTGAGCAACCGTTCACTGACATGTCGTAAGAAATAATGAGAAGCGAGCTTCTTCTTTCACGTATTAGTGACGTGTTTCAATTTTCGGAAAAGTCATTTAAATAAAAATTTCACTGAAACTGGTTGTTGACGATTGCTCTGTTGCTTCAAACTTATGAAAACTGAAAAGTTTGAGAGCAAAATACTCTAGAGAAAGGAAGACTTAGAGATGGACATGAAGAAGATGAAAGAAAAAATATACAGATAGAGTGTGATAAAGAGAATGCTAAGAGAGAAGGGAATATTTTGAACGCGATTGTTTCATCTTTAGCTTAACTCACTCACACACACACACAAATACACACAAGCAGAGATAGTGTTATTACAAGAGCAATTAGATGTAAGAATGTTTTGTTTTTCAGATATTTCCTATTGTTTTGTTTGAACTTTGCATAGTTTTTCGTAAAAAAAATTTATTTATTTCTGAATTAAAGAAAAGAAAATGAATACTAACGAGCTGTTCACCAACAAATACCTTACAGAATTTAAATGGAAAGCCTTTCACACGCACAAAAGCCAGAAAATTGTGTGTTGGAGGAACTAAAATGTCAGAAAGATATTTGACTTCTTCTACCCACCACCTTCGCGTGTTTCTCTCTATCTCTCAGTCATGCCCTCCATCTCTCTTTAATGGCTATTTTCAGGAGGATATAACAAGGTTCGTTGCAGAATATTTGTGTTTTGTACTAATGTATTACAATGAAAAAACTGTAAAAAAAAATAAAAAAAACTCCTCGTTTGAAGTAAAACAAAGGAGAAATGGGATTGAAAGATGCTGAATAATGCCTGAGGCATGTAATGACTTGATATCGAAATAATGAGAAGAGGACGTAATATCTTTATATTATATTTATAAAGAAATTTCTCCCCCTACATTTAGAAGAAAAAATCGTCTCAATCAGGTTCAAAGAGGTTCAAAACAAACTTATTCAACACGTAAAAAGAAAACTCCACATGCTTTGATAAATTCAAAAAATAGAAATATCCTTAAACATATGAAATATTTGAATGACCGTGTTGTTTCTGGATGAGAAAGAAATTATTTTTGCTCTCTCCAATCTCAGCATGAATGATTGAGTGAAAGGTTCAAAAGAAGAAGAAGAAGAAGAAAAAAAGCAAAGTTAAATAAAACACATTTTTTTTAATCCGTAAAATCCAATTTGTTTCCGACATCTAATCTGAATATTCGATAATTTAAAGAAGATTGAAAGCTTTTCAAATAATTCCATGAATAATTAAAATTGTCTTTTTTGTTCCATTGTCTTTATAATAAAGAATTTGCATTTCGAACAATCAACTTTGCACGTTTTTTTTGAGAAAACACAATATGAAGTGAAACAATATCAGAGCTGACCCAGAGAAACGACTAGCTTAAGCTGCTTACATTCAAATTTTTATTTTAAATGTTGCCTGCATGAGGCAAATATGGATGCACACTTAATAAAACAAGAACCTCCTTGAGGTTATGTCAATAGAAAAATTAAAATGGCAATTGAAACCTCAAAGATTATTTGAATTTGTAAGTTTTTCTTTACAATACACAATTTCTCTTCCTTGTAACACGAGATATTGTAACAAAGGTCAAAGCTTTAAGTCATCATCTTTACGGCAGAAAAGAATTAATTTTCTCCATCAAACGTGATGAACTTTTAATATTAAGATATAGGAAAAGCGATGTGTAGGAGTTAAGGAAGGAACTCACTTTTTCATTTTAGACATATCTATCCGAAGAGATTCGCGAAGCCAGTCGACGAAGGATACAATGAGAGCCATGGCAGACAGAGGGAGGGAGGACAGAATGTTTCTGAAAAAGGATAATCTACTAATAAGTGACGATGCAAACGGATATTCGATAAAAGCCTTATGAAAACTCCCTCCAATGATAGCAACCGTTCCTTGGCAATTCGAAGAAATGAATGAAATAACTTTACGCGTCATTTACGTGAAAAACGTGTTATGCTAATTAGAAGAAGTAACGAAACTTGAAAAGCCCAAAAAACGAAAAAAATCGTATTACAATCTTTGTTTTCCTGAAGCAAAAAGTTGAGTTTTCATTCATTGCTTCTGAATTTTAAATGAATTACGAATACTCGCTAATGGAAAGTTGATTACTTTTGTCAAAAAAAAAGAAGTGAGAGAAGATGTCTCGGAGCTTGTTAAACTCCATTGAGGACCGAACACGTTGTTCCCGAGATGAGACCAACGCGATTTATCATGGACTTCCTTTTTTACAGAGATTGAAAGAAAAAACTCATTAATTGATGAAGATTGACAGATAAGTTAGGTGCAAACCGAATGTCAGTTCGAGAAAATATTGTTTGAAGCTTTCAATTACGTTTTTGTTGCCATTGAGCCTAATCAACTAGAGAAAAGCTAAACCAACTAGAAAATAGCTAAATATATTAAAGCGGAATCTATTTTGTCGGAAGATTTTGAACAAAAAAATATTTCTTGATCTAATTTCAACAAAAAAGCGGAACTCAAGTTGCTGAGGAGAAAGAAAAACGAATGAACCTCCCATATAAAATCTTTGAAATCTGAGATAAAGAGGGAAAAGACTTCTCTAATCTCTATATTTATGGAAGCAGTTCAAAACCATGCTGGGAGTTTGCCGAATGCAAACGTATATTTATATTTATAATTAGAAGTAAGTGAAAACATTTTTTTTATTTTCCATTGAAAGGCACATCGCTTAAGTCCAAATATGCTCCAACTCCATGAGATACGTGGAATTTTGTATTTTTTTTCTGCTTGTCAAGAGGATTGACTTCCTTTCAAGCCCACGTGCACTACCGGTCTTTTCATCTTAGGAAATCTCGTTTATCGATTGTCTCAGTTGTATGCTTGATCATGGTTTGTTATCAAATCATAAAATTACACACTTGATAATTTAATCGTACGAAGGATCGATTCATGTTAAGAGGGTTATTTGTCGTTTTTTTGAGATTTGAACGCTGCGTGGCATAGCTTGTTCATCATAGACAGTTTCAAAATATATTATTTAGGAATACCCACCAGCAACTTCTCATATATTTCTATGTCACTATCAAGCTCGCATTCCAGTTATAAGCCATTAGTTGGTTTTACATTCATTTTCAATATACACAATATATCTCATAAGATAAGCATTAGCTGCTATATCACAACCAAAAATCGTATTTTTGAAACGTTTTGATGAAAGTTCATAGTGTGCAAACTTCGCGACGCCGATTTGCGGCCGTAAAATTTCGTAAAATTATTTGTTCATTTTGACAGTTTAATATTTTTATTTTGCAGTTATTATTCCTCTGTGTGATTATTCTTCAACAATTTTTTTAAGGATTGTGAATCCTCACCTGTACATAACATGGAAGAGAGAACGAATTATAATCCAGAGAGTGATCCCGACACTCAGAACCCTCAAAAAGAGTGAGTCATTATAAGAGAGGCGACTTTTTAATCCACATATCATCGTCTCTTTCAATTCCCATTGTTTCTCTTTTTTTTGTGTTGAATTATGTAAATCACAATGTCAGTTAAGTTGAAAGAGTTTTAATATTTCGATTACTCCTGTAAACTATGATTAGGTTAGCCTTTCATTTTTTTTTGGAAAAACCATATTCCATCTTAACTTTTCCAGCTCTAAAGGTCTTCATCTCTATACAGTTCTCGAAATTGACAAAAAGGCAACGGAAGATGATATTAAAAAATCTTACCGAAAACTCGCATTGAAATACCATCCGGATAAGAACTTGGATGGAGACCCAGAGAAGACAGAAAAGGTTCGTTGTCCTTCGTTCACATTATAATACTAAATCTTTCTTATTTCAGTTTAAAGAAATTAACTATGCTAATACTGTTCTATCTAATCCCAAGAAAAGAGCTGTAAGTTGTTTACAATCTACGAATATGTATATTCAATCTGTTCATAGGTGTATGACGAACTTGGGGACACAGGATTAAAACTTATGGAACAGTTCGGTGAAGACAATGAGACTATATTGAACTGGATGGTGAAACCATGGTTTAAGGTGATAACTTATTCTCATATCATTCATATTTCTGATATTTTAGTACCTGTTTTGCGGATTCGGTATCATTACTCTCGGCTTCTTCTGCTGTTGTTGTGGATGCATGTGCTGTTGTAAATGCTGTTGTAACTTCTGCTGTGGCAAATACGTCCCGAAGGATCCTGAAGATGTTTTTTTCTTCTAATTACTGGCTTCATAGAATGTGTTGTAGGTGTATCAGGCCTCAGATGTTGGTGACTTAGAAGGAGATGAGAATAATCCTCCTATTATAATCGCCCAACCTGGGCCAAGCAATGATACCAGTAGATCATCACCTATTGCTGCTAGAGGACCGAACGGAGAGGAACCCGTTCGAGTGAGTTGATGATTCAAATATCTCAGTGTTCCGTTTCTGATTCAGCCAGCAGTGATAGCCATGCCTCCACCATCGACACCATCTACTGCGAAATCAAATGATTATGGCTCAACGCATGAAGGAAACTGATGAAGTAGCATAGATATGTTTTTCTATTTTAATTAAGCATATTCATCAATGAGATGAAGATAATATACATATCGGCCATTCCATAACACCACACAGCCCCTTTTTTCTTCACTTAATCATACTGTTTCTGCGATCAAAGAGTTATTTTGTGTCTATGTCCTGCATTTACCACAAAATCCGTTGTCAGTTCGTCTCTCATAGATTATATCCATGTCATTCAGTATACATGTCGTGACTGAGAAGTTTAAATTTTGTTTCATTCCTCTATCTAAATTATATCAAATTTTAAATCTATGCTTTTGTATAACCCCGTTTTAGGTATTTGCTCAAATTTCTCTATTTTCAATGTGCAGAGTTATTTTGTGTGTTGTTCAACTAACTATCTATTGCTTTAACATCCAATTTTCTGTTTTACTCACCTATCCAGGTTGATTTCATGAGAAGTGGTGTTCATACTTGTGTCAAATCAACTCGAACATATCCTTGTTTTAGTACACATAGCATTGGATTTATAAATAAATTCTAATTTTTTTTTGACCCAACCGTTCCAAGCATCAGTATGTATACGACTGACCAGTTCATATGAAACACAAAATGAAAAGTGCGAAACGGAAAAAGTACGTGGGTGCTGTTTACAATTACGTGGCATTGTATGCAAATTCTCTATATCAGTTTATAACTTAAGCTAATCAGGCGAGTTTTTCATAATTATGCTAATGATAAAAATCACAAAGAGGATGTTATATGATACTCGACTGTTCGATATCTAATCTAAATCGAATATACATATGTTTATATACAGATTGGCCGTCATTATTAACATCGACAGCCATTTATCAGGATAGTATTGGTCTCATTTTGACAATCTTCAGCCATGTGCATTGCATTAGAAGACACTTACATATTGCAGATCTTCGCTGTAAATTACAAGATTTTGCTTCTGTTCTCATAGTATTGCCCTTTACTCTGGCTATCAGTCTGCTTCTTCTCTCTCAATCTTCTTAGCAAACTATCAGAGTCTTGATCTTTCGAATGTGGGTCCATTTCTCGTCGAAACCGTTTATTCCACATCCTACGCCACATGTGTAAGCAAACCTAAGCAAATGCCGTAGAGCGAACGATAATTGAAGCAGAGCGAATGGATAGATGCAACATCATCGGTTCATCCCATAAGTTCATTCGGAAGCCAACGATAGTATTAAGAGATTTGTTTCAGAGCGCACTGAAGCAGTCAGGTTTAATTTAATGAATCCTCTCGTTTATTTCGTTCGTTATCCATTCAGTATTAAATTTCGATCATGGAAATATTTTTTTATAACAATTCACTACTGACACATACCAGTTACTCATTTGCCTTCTGTAGAAAGAAAGACCACAATTACGACTTTTTTCCCAATGACAAATGTTCTGATCAAAGTTATATTACTAGAATATAAACAAACGACTCTTATTTTCCACTTTTAAGTAATTTTTCAGATGATTAATGCTCAGTAATCGTTCCTCTAACAGCCTTTCGAATGTTTTGTTTATAATTCGTTTATTTTGAACTTATCATCATCATCGGAAATTTCAGCACAAGATGGTAGATATTGTCTTTTACAGTGGAGAACATCGGGTGGGCGGGTCAATGTTGCTCCAGACGATCATAACGAACAAGGGGGAGGAGGCTGGACATTGCACGCCGTCAAAGATACGCGAACCTCAAAGTCAGTTTGAGGATGAACGATGAAGAAGACTGCCCAGCTGAAGTTATTTTTTCAACCACTTCGATCTCACAAAGTATGCTATGTCTGTTACTTCAGTTGTGGTAAGCACAAACTAAAATTTTTATTCCACTAAACTAATCAATTCATAAAAACTTCGTTCACAATTTCGCGCTTTTGATTGTCTTTTTGCTCGTCTCACTCATAGCAGACGACCAAAGACAATCGAAACCGAGTTTTTGTGCTATTTTCTCTGCCTGGATCAAAAGAATTATATATTTGTATCAGAAATACATCAACAAAGCGAGGTTTGCGAAATACAATAGAAATCTTTACATTTTTCAAACAATATCATTAATATCACGGAAAGTGATACTCCCCATTGATCTAGTCGAACCAACAGCATCGTAGGAGTCGGAAACCTATGATAGCAGGAAATTCATTATGACAAACGAAATAAATCAAAATTACTTTTGACAAAGCAGAGTTACTCCGCACATATTTGTTAAAAGCATCATTAATCGTGGGTGGATGACGAGGTCTGCTGATTACTGTTTGATGAACTATCTCAATGAAGTTTCCAATTATGGTGTCTCTATCCGTTTGGTTCTGTAAAATGTAAATGTCTGTGACTTTTTTCACCACTAAAACTGTTGGATTGAACTTTTGTTTCTGGAAAACTAATCGATATCTGATTGTTTTGCAAATATCATTGTCTGACAATTTCGTCAGGCTTTCAGATTCGTTCTATCTTCAATAAAATGTCATCAAAATATCATTGGGAAATGCTATTTTTTATTTCAAATACTTTCTTTCTTCTTTAAAAAACAACGCACCTTCAGTTTATCATGGTACAAACTCATAATTTGAGACCATTCAGATGGTTTCACTCGATCGCATGCTCTATCTAGGCGTGTCCTCTCCTACAATAGAAACCTCCATAGAATGAACTTTGAATGAAAAACAAACCGATAGGGTCAGATGTTTTTTAGGCTTGGCATCACATCCAGAAGAGATCAACCAGCTATAATCAGGAACCTTATTTTGTAAGTTTTCTTCTGACTTTCTGATTTCCTGAAAAACCAATTGAGATTTGATCTGTATGGGGGTGTTCTTGTCGACATGAAAGGCTTCGCAATAAAGCACATTTTTCGAAGCCTCAGCTAGATCAAAAGAAAAAAAGAAAATAAAATATATGCTTACCCACCTTTTGAGTTTCGAATTCAGTTACATATGCTTCGATTTGACTTATTACCAATGAAGCCATCATCGTGTCGTCTTGGTCAGATAAATCCTTCCTACCATCTTCGAAAGAAGAACTGCGAGGAGAGGTAATTTCACAGATCCATTTAAACATTCTAAGACAAAATGGGTTGAGGCAAAAACGAGTTGAACGAAAATGTTATGAAGGTTTAAACGAAACAGAACGAACAGAAGATCATTTCCTTTTAAAGGAAAAGCCAATAGTGCAACAAGGAAATATACTCCACACATACGTAACACGACTAATAATAAACTTTTCTACGTCAAAATTTAATTATATTAAATGATTCGAAAAAGAGGCGCACGTTCAATAGTAAGACATGAGGAGTCGTATGTTTTACCTAAGAAGGAAATATCGCTATCGACAAACAGATAAGAGGGCGGTTCTCCGGTTGCTATGGAGTTATCTCATCCCCAGATGAGCTGAAATTATAATGGGAATATGATATTTCAAAAAAGTATTAGTTCTGATGAACAGAATAAAGAGTGAAGCTTTGTACAAAGTTTATCCAACGTATTTTTGTGCGTTAACTATTCCATGACGTTATTATATCTATATACTCATAACATTGGCGAAGGTATAGATCATGAGCATATCTTGCACATGACTGAATGGTAATCCTCAATCCTAATGCGTTGGCAATGCTTGAGCTTTAAAAAAACAAAACCTCTTCATATGATATTCCCAGAACGATTACTTATGTAATTGGACAACGGTTGAGCTCATTCAAACTTTATGAAAATTCATAATAAGCTAAAGAACATCATTGTTCACTACGCACATTATGGTGGGAAAAAGAGTGAACGAAAGTAACTGAGCCTTCAAATTGGCAAGGTAAAACACTTTATGCACGTGAATTACTGGGAACGAAATTCATTTGAACTTTTGAATACGATTCCTAAGTAGACGATTGTCTTTCTCAGCATCACCTCCAACATTAAGAATATGAAGTCATTACAATTTCATTGATTCCGTGTTTTACAACACCCTATCTGTTCACCTCCTCGAAAACTCGTTTCTTCTGTTTTACCCAATAACAACACAAAGAGACATTCAGAACTGAATTTTTGATGTATTTCAAGCTTCTTCTTACGCTTTCTACTTTGTCATGTTCATTCGCTCAATATCAATCTTCTGGGCCGTTCACAGGCCAAGACGATCAAGACTGGACGAACGTATTTCAACATCAGTCCTATTCTTATTTTTTGAAAGAGGTGCAACACAGAAATTTTAATTATGCTGTTTATCAAGATAAATTAGGCAGAACTACAGTAAGTTACTTCAGAATTACGTTTCCTTTCATATAATCAACATTTCAGCCACTTCCCACTTTGAATGCTCTGTTTTTTGAGAAAGACCGAGTTATTAATCCTACGAGTAACTATGTTAGTATGTCTGAAGTATTTGGAAAACCTAGAACCATTGATGACGATCTTGAAATGCCACTTAACCAACCTGTGAACAATTTTAAAGTATCCTTTCATAGATATTATCCATATTATAATCCCTATCATCCAACAAACCGAAAATAAAGATTCTCGCCTTGTGAACAGAAAAAATTTGAAAATAGTTTAAATACACATTCTACATAGATATCCACGAGGAAAAACTATGCAGTGAAAGCGCGCTCGAGTGAAATGTTCAAGGTCTGCAAATATCGTCTCGCCGCGATTAGCAAGCCTACCGTATCAAATTGTTGTAGCCAGCTCGTCGGATGTTCTATGTATTTTGGGTATTGTTAAAGCACCTTGCTATGTCTACGTTTTTAATACGAATAGTATGTATTTTTCTTCAGTATTGGTTTTTCCGTTGTACTTTTTGATTTAAGTAATGCATGCTCTATGAATTGCAGCTGTTTTCAGGTATAAAATATGGCCGATCGAGGCGGATTCCGTGGAGGTTTTGGAGGTGAACGTGGTGCTGGACGCGGTGGACGCGGAGCCGGTGGAGACCGTGCTGGAGGACGTGGACGTGGAGGTCGTGGTGGACGTGGTGGACGCGGTGGAAAGTAAGTTTTGTATTTATGATGACTTCTGGCGGATAGGACCCATGCTGCTTATTAGAGTAGTGGTGGCTAGAAATCTTGCCGAAATGATCAGATGTACTATGGTCGCATTCTATACTTTGTGTTTACTGTGCATTACCAATACAGCTAACAATATTCATTTAAGGACCGGTCGCGGTGGAGAGAAGGAGAACGAATGGGTCCCAGTCACCAAGCTCGGAAGACTCGTCAAGGAGAGAAAGATCACCACTTTGGAAGAGATCTACCTTAACTCACTCCCAATCAAGGTGAGCAAAAATACTTTTTATGGTTTTGTTGGCTTATCTAGAACCACGTATTGCTCCGTATATGTGCTAAGCATTTGCGTTATAAATATTCAGCCAATAGTATATAATTAGCTTAGGTCGCATGTTTTCTGCTTCGAGAAGTGTGCATTACCACGTTAAATAACATTTTTCAGGAGTTCGAGATCATCGACCTTATCTGCTCCAACCTCAAGGACGAAGTTTTGAAGATCACCCCCGTCCAGAAACAAACCACGTAAGTCTCTAATCCTAGATATGATTTTAACATTCAATTCGTTTAGTGCTGGTCAAAGAACCCGTTTCAAGGCTTTCGTCGCCATCGGTGACCACAACGGACACGTTGGACTTGGAGTCAAGTGCTCTAAGGAAGTTGCCACTGCCATCCGTGGAGCTATCGTTGCTGCCAAGCTCGCCGTTATCCCAGTCAGAAGAGGATATTGGGGAAACAAGATCGGACAACCACATACCGTTCCCTGCAAAGTCAGCGGAAAGTGCGCCTCTGTCATGGTCCGTCTCGTCCCAGCTCCTCGTGGAACCGGATTGGTTGCTGCCCCAGTACCCAAGAAGCTTCTTACCATGGCTGGTATTTCTGACTGCTACACTGCTGCCAGTGGACAAACCGCTACCCTCGGAAACTTCGCCAAGGCCACCTACGCTGCTCTTCAACGTACCTACTCCTACTTGACCCCAGATCTCTGGAAGGAGGAGGAACTCGAGAAGACTCCTTATCAAAGATACCACGACTTCCTTGCTCGTGCTTAATTGTTTCAATGTTGCTGTTGGTAATGCAATGAACATTGTTGTTTATAGTAATTTATGATTTGTTGCCTTTTCATTGAGTTGTACATAATACGATGGGTAGACACATAAAATACCTTTTTTTCCTAAGAGGTAGAAAAAACACTAAAAATCAAAATTTCCTGAAACTACAAGTTGCGGAAAATGTGTCGATGGGGTTTGACGGGGGATATCTGAAACAGTTAGGGGAGGGGTGTCAAACAGTAAAGTTGTCTGTGGGCGTGGCCTATTATGGCGGGTCGCAGTAAGTGCGCTCTGTTGCTAATTTATGCAGCGGGAAAGATAAATTTGAAATAGACGCTAGTTACAAAATTGTATTTGTCGTTTAGTGTTACTTTTTATTGGTTATTCCTTTAATGTCCTTCGGTATTCTCGCATTTCTCGTTTATGGATAATTATGTGTATGCCTGGACTAACTAACAGTTTACTTATAGAGTATGGGGAAGTCTGAAAAACAGTGCCGGGATTTTATCAATGAGTGGAAACCAGCTATCGAGAAATTTGGGTTGTTCGATAGAACAAGGGAAGAGTTATCTTTGAAAATATTACAAATTCATGGTTCGTTGTGGTATAATTGACGCTTTAATCGAACTTAATGTTAGAAGTGAAAGCTGCATTAAAGTCTATGGACTCTATACGAGAGAAATGGGGTTCCAAAGATGCTGAGGTTCATAAGCTTCGCTCAGATAACGATAATCTATACAAGGAACTAATGTTTGTGTTTTCTTCCATTTTTCTTTATTGATTTTTTTGTCAAGGGCTAACGATGTTAAATTGAAAACTGTGCAAGCTGAGTTAATGGATGCACGAAGTCAAATCCGTATTCAGTTGGACCAAAACAGTGCACTGAAAGCAGATTTAGAAGAATATGATAAGAAACTTATTTTTGTTAGAGATATCTTAAAGGTAAATATCTCGTATGTTAGGAGTCAATAATTGATGGCTTTAGAACTCTTTGCCTTCTGAGAAAATGAAAGAACTTGCTTTCCTCAAAAATCCAGGTTTGATCAGAACCCATTCTACGAGACTTGCTAAGCAATCCAAAGTTGAAGTGGAGGTGATTAGACATTTTGTTCTTGAGTAATTCTGAATATACAGATCGAAGATGATACTACCAGTGATAATCTTGATTATGATCAAACTGGAGATAGCATGGATTTAGACGATGACGAGAATTCTCAGTATAGTTCTTCGAATTTTCTTGTATCCTTGAATAATGTTTAGTTGCCGAAGGTCTTCTGGTGTTCGAGGCAAACGATCTAGCGCTGCTTTAAATAATAAGAGAAATCGTAGCCGAGTAATAACAAGCCCGATTGACGAGGAAGAAGTTGTTAGTTTGAAAAAACGTTTTTGAGAACTGATCATTCAAATACAGGAGAACGAGGCTCCCCGTAAAAAGTCGAAAGAATATATGAACCAGAGTATTGTAAGGCTTGATATTGAAACTTCAAGACCGAGTAGAAGTACGAAAGTTACCATAAGGAGGAGCTTGAACCGTAGTATGTCAGAAGGAAGAATATTGGAAGACATAGTTTGTGTTAGATTTTGTTACATTATGATAATTTTGATTAGGAAAACAAACGGCACATCACTCTTAAAGGTCTTCAAAGTACCCCTCATGCTACCAGCACATTGGATCTGTAAGTTCGACTCACCGGAGTTTCTCTCTATTTTCGAATTTTAGGAGAAAACACACTCCTGGATCTGCTCGATCATGGACCAGCAAAGGTCCGTTGGAACGCAGAGAACATTCTTTTGAAAAACTATCCACATATTTCAAGGTTAGAGATCCGCATTTCTTATTCAACTCAATATCGTTCAGATGACTAATTGTGATGTATGTCATGGTGGAATTAACTTTGCAGCTAAGCCTGCCATGAAGTGTAAAGACTGTCATCAACATGTTCATGTTACTTGTGGAAGGTAAGATACATAGCTTTTCCTATATCAATTTTCTTGTACAGAAAGCTGGCTCTTCCATGTATTCCGCGTTCTGCCACCCCGATAAAAACTCCTAGCAAATCAAGAGGCCAAACAACTGCTTATCGGCTGAAGGTACTTACAATTTTTATAATTTAGTGATCCTGATCTTATTTGTCAGGACTTTTGCCCATTATCGTCTCCGATGATTGCATATCCCATAATTCATTGCGTAGTTGCTCTGGAGAACCGTGGTTTACATCACGAAGGGATATACCGTGTACCTGGAAAGAAATCTCAAGTCACAGCGGTGTTGAATGAGTTACGAAACTCTCGCGCGATTCCGAAGCTTGAACTGCAAGATATCGAAGTGATTTCAGATTGCATTAAGCAATTCCTAATGGAGCTAAGAGTTTGTTCTCAAATGCTTCCAATTCTTATTCATCTGTTCAGGACCCCCTTATACCCAAATCTTCAAGAGAAGAGTTTGTTCGAGCTGCGCTGACCACTAACTACACAGCGTTAAACGTAGCAATTTTTGATTTACCACAACCAAATAGAGATACTTTAGCTTATCTCATTTTACATTGGCAGAAAGTAGGCAAAACTCTTTGACTAATCAAGTTTCCATTTTTTTAGGTAATTGGTCACTGTCAGCAAAACAAAATGCCTAAAGAGAATGTTGCTCGATGTGTCGCTTTAAGCGTTATGGGACGTTCATCATATGCTCGTGGAGACCTCGGAAGTGCCTCCCGAGAGACAGGAGAATTGGAAAAGGTGCTCTTGGCACTGCTGACTATTTCACCGGTAAGAATTTTTTTGTCATGATATTTCAAACGTATATTGTAGGTATATTGGCAAAAGTTTATAAATCAAGAGGCCCTAAGTGCCGGTATGCTTTCTGCAGTTTCGAATACGAATGAATCATGCGAAAGCCCATCGCCTGTTGACCGGAGTATGTTGGGTCCTGTGAAAAGTTCTCCTCAAAGTACGCCTTACCTCATTCGTACCCGACGTCAAAAAGATCGATTGTTCGATGCACCTAATTATTGAAAAGAAGTAATGAAGACTTCATTTCTAAAGCTATTATTCTTTTATATTTATTGCCCAGGTTATACATTCGTTTGTTCACTAATGAGAGAGGTAGTATGCTTAGTATACCATGATTTATCTTTACTTGTAAATAAGTTTCATAAATATCCGCTTATTTGTCATCATTTAATAATTACACATGAGAGTCGTATTTTATACCTTGTCCCAGCATTTTGTATGTTGAAGAGTTTGTGAGTTATAATATTATCAATTTTCATCACTGATCTTATCAGTTCAGCTTCTTTGCTTTTGCTCAATTAAACGGCTTCATTGATAACTTTTCTTTGAAATATTGTGTTTCTTAATTACCATTATTCAGATTTTCCAAATGCCTGAAGTTGTTGATTGTGGATGGTTGAATGATCACCTTGTAAGGAGCATACGGCATATAGTGTTTATTGTGAATGTTTTAGAGCAATCCGAAGGTGAAAGTGCTGGACGTCACTCACACTGTGAAACCTAAAAGAGATTTCAAAACTTTCGATTATGGGAATTTCAAACAGCATATGATTGAAAATGTGAAAAATTCATACCCTCCTTGTCTTTTAGAGTTGCTTTTAAGGTTGAAGTAGACTATGTCATGTCACATATTCCTGATGCTGTTCATTTCAATTTGGATGCGGCATTTTACCCCAGCGAGTAATTATCTTCGCGAGAACAGTTCATTTTTAAGCATATTAAGATTTATAAAATCTGATATCTATCCACCAGCATTGTTTGAGAAGTACGTTCAAATGCTCGGAATCAATCGGGATGATGAAGTAATCGTCTATAGTCGTGGACCAGCTGGTGGTATGCTTTTCGCAGCAAGAGCATGGTGGACATTCAAAGTATGTACTCTCAATGGTTTGCTTTTCAAAGATTTTTAAGCTCTATGGCCACTCCAATGTAAAAGTGTTGATTGGTGGGTTTGATCAGTGGAAGAAACAAGGATTCCCTGTGAATGGTGATCATCCTACCCCGCCAGTAAGATATAAAGTTGGAGTTTTTTATCTATAACCTATTGAAGTTCGGCGACTGGACAGCAAAACCATTAGATAGAGGTTTGCTTGCAACCTTCGAGGAGCTTACTACCGAAAATTCGGGTGGTATATCGGAGAACTGTTCGAAGGTCAGTTGTGTTGTTTTCTCATACATGTTCTTGAGAATGTGTTAAGGTAAACTATTTGGACGCGAGGCCTACAGATCAGTATCGTGGTTTAACTCCTCTTGGTGTACCAGCTGATGGTTGAATATTCTTTCATTCGCTCATTTTTTTCAATATTTCCAGGAGCCACAGGTTCGCATATAACTGGAAGCAAGAATTTGCCTCTGGCTAAGATTGTCAATATCGATAGTCTGAGAACAGAGAAAGAGATTAAAGCTGGTAAAATCAATCATAGTTTTAGTTTAGAAATATTCATTTCAGCCTTGGATCAAACTAGTTATGATTCTAGTTTTGAAATTGTCACCGCTTGTAATGGTGGTATACAAGCATGTCTCCTATCTTTAGGTTTGGCAGAAAGTGGGTATCGGTCGAAAGTATACAATGTATGATATGTTGATGAGACACAAGAAATTTGATTTTTTTATAGGGAAGCATGGTCGAAATCGGATCAAGGGCTCCAGGCCTCATCAACTCCAGTTAATCAAATTGAAGTTTTCGAATAGTATTATGCAGTGTTTCGAAATTTCGAATAAAAAATACTTTAGTATTTTTGATCAGTGGACATGAATCCTAGCACAGCATTCATCGCTCTATCTTCCCGGTGCTCAGAAATAAATTCAAAGAACCGCTCAACCCAGGATAGAAAATGGTTTCTCACTCATTGGCTCATTGAAGCCAAGACTGCGAGGTGAGCACAACCACTGACTCGATTGTTAGACTGAGAATGATGATGACGAACTCTATTTCTTTATGAATTTTGCGTCTTTAGAACAGGGAAGGAGTAAAAGCAATATATATTATTTCAATCAATCTTTAACATACAGTTGATAATGTGGGATAACAATATAACAAGAAAAATGAACAGACCCGCAAGCAAAATTAACAACTTCCACATACGGAAAAATATCAACAATAACAAAACTAGAACATGCAAAACCTCACTAATCATTATCTAGAGGATTTAGAGGGGAAGCCCATCTTTCTGCAAAGGATGACCAAGTGGCCGCTTCTTTTCTTAAACTAGCGAGTTTCTCTTTCACGTCATTGTTAGAAGCAGATTTGGCATTGTTCAACTGTTTCGTTGGAGAATAAGAGTTCTGAAGAATGAAGAAAAATAATTGGTGGTGAAGGAAAAAAATTACATTTAGTTTAGCTGACTTAGGCTGAATTTCAGACCAGCCAAGTGAGCCTGATAGAAAATGATTCACACTCCCCAAGAAGTAAACCGAATCTGTTCCTTCCTCAGACGTTTTTACTTGAAGAATTCCACCAGCAGGTCCTTCTTTCTTGGTTGTGGTTTCCAAGAGTATCACACCCTGAAACTAGTTATGAAGCTGCAACGGAAAACTGAACTATACATCTTGCTGACCACCGTTTGTAGATTTGGCTATATCTATCCTAACACCATTGATGACAAGAAATACTTTCCCACTCCTAGACACCTGAAAGTTCGAATGTAGAAAACGGAAAATGCTTCTCACGTACCTTCAAAGAGCCGATCTTGGATCCTGAAGGAAGCTTAGGAACAGTGCGAGACTTATCATCTGGCTCAATAGGCTCTGCTGTTTGTCCAAACTAGGAAAAAAATAAGTATGAATAATTCTATGGAGAACTAACGTCAGATTTCTCAGCTCTCTCCTCAGCTGGAGGAGTAGCCGCCAAAATATTCAAAACACTGGGTAATTGGAGCATGAAAATAGACTCGTTCGCTTCTGAATTAACACATTCACCAAGGAAATTGTTTTTGAAACCTCACTAGATTTCTGCAAGAAAATTGCCCCTGCTTCTCTACTGAATTTGGAAGTCACTGTGTCATCTTCGTAATGTTCAAACACAGTATCGTCAGCACTGGAACAAATTTTTTAAATGTAATCTAAATATAACCTACTTCGGCTTCTCTTCTTCGCAAGCAGAATCATTTTCAGTATCAGACAGTAACTCGTCTTTAGCTTTTTTATCCAGAATCTGAAAAAAAACTTTTATGAGTGGTTTTTCAATGAACATTACATTGAAAAACTGATTTTCATCCTGTTGTGGCAAAACAATAGGCATTCTATCTCCACGACGATAATCAGATATGAACTTGAAATCATTGAGTCAGTAAAGGAATTCATAAGATAAAAAACATCATCTTTCATCAGCTCTGACAACTCCTTCTCATCCTCAGCTTCATCACTTTCCCACATATCTTCCCAACCTTGGCCAGGATCACGGAACTCACGATCTTCAGCATCATCTTCTTTGGTCCTTTTCCGAGCTATTGAAAACGCTAAACATTTTACATGATTAATCAACAAAAAAGGGGTCATACATATTCCAGAGTCTTTCTCTGCGACCTTCTTCTCAGAAGCGCACAGTCCGGCAGAAAAAATTCCTTCAGATTGAATAAGTGCTTGCTTCGGACCACCTCCACGGCCTCCACCTCTTCCACGTCCTCTGCCTCTTCCACGTCCATCGCGCTTTCCACTAGAACATTGAACTTAAATTGAAACTAAAAAAAAAATACCCTCTCAAGTTTGAAGAAGCAGAAGAAGAATCCTCTCTTTTACCAGCCAAAGCCAAATTTGGTAACGCGCCACGCTTTATGGTTACATTGCCCCGCCCTCTAGTTGACATCCTTAAACTTGAATATTAAAAAATGATGAATACAGGTGGAAAACGGATTTATTTAAAACACTTGCAAAACGTACAAAATTTATTATTCAAGCTACATCTATGCTCAACCCAAAATAGCAGTAGAATTGCGTACCTACTTACGTACAAAACTCACTCAACACGTCTTTTCCTAAAATTTGCGTGCGCGTTCGAATAAATTCTTAGAAGTTGAATTTGCTTGCTTTCAGTTCGAAAACATGGACGTGGACCTGGAATCCGTAGAGATTGTGTTTGCTCAAAAGTTAGCATCCGGTGAACCTGCAACTCGGAGAAGAGCTCTGAACACTCTTCGTGATTGGATTACCCAACAATCGAAAGTCAAAGGTGGGTGTTTTTGCTTACTACATTTATCTCAAGGGAACAATTTAATCTTTATCCCATGAATGGCAGATTGTATTGGTTATGATTGAACTTTTAAATTGTACTTCTTCAGCTTTTGACATGGCGGATATGACTAGACTTACTCAGGGGCTTCACTATGTCTTATGGATGCAAGATAAAATGCTGTTGCAAGTAAGCTCGTCAAGCTTAATCTTAAAATTATCTGTTTCTGTTTAGGAAGAGTTATCAGATAATATTTGTTCATTCTTCATGAACTTCGAAACTGATCAAGAACGTCAGCTTTTTGTGAAATGCAGTTTTACTTCCCTTGCGAAGTCTTGGCATAACATTGACAAATGGCGAGTGGACAAATTCCTATTGGTACGGTTCTCGAAAAAATTGAAACGCTTACTTTTTCTCTACAGCATTTGAGAAAACTAATTTTTCAACTCTTCAAACACTTGGCTTCCATCAAATGGAAAAAGGCTCTCCGTGACCAATACTTTGCTGCTATAAAAGAATCAATTTTCACTAACAGTTGGGATTCTTGAGTTGTTCTGACTATAACATTTCTATGCAGGTACACATGTCTCGGACGGTTTGAAGTTCCATTTCTGTTCCTTGTTCCTCGATGAGTTAGATAAAGCTGGAGGATTATCAAAGAAACAAGTTAGCAATATATTACAATTCTTCGTCGATATCATAAAAGAGAAATCTATCAGGTAAGTTAACTATCTTTGTCCTTGATTATCCCTAGTTTAAGTGACTATTTGTTTAATACAATCCTCAAAGAATGTTTCGAAACCATACTTCATTCTCTCTCAGAAGATTTCGCTGCTAAAGAAAATGGAGAGGAGATACCTGCTGGCCTTGAGGTAACTTAATTTTTCATTTTGTTATAATGTTTGAATTTATTTCAGTTCGACTATAAAGCTATAGGGAAAATGTTATTCGATGTAGGAAAACATCCAGACGTTAAGTCGGCACGAAGAAAGGAACTGTACAAAATGGTGAAACTGTATGGAAATATTTATTCTTTTTCTGACTGAACATTTGATAATATTAGATTTGACATCGCTGCGAAGGGTAAAGATCCGTTAGCTTTCGAAGCTCCAGAAGCTGCGATTTATTTGGCTGCTGAAGATATTGAAAAAGCAGCTGATGAGCTAATAAAACAGGAGGAAGAGAACAGAGAAGAGCGGCAACTTCATCGTACAACTAGAAAGAAGTAAGACCATTGAGACTATATACAATTCATATTCATTTTTCAGAAGATCAGCAGCTACTCTCGTCGGAGAGGATATAGAGCTTGAGAAAAAAGATTTCAAAACTCCAAAGACCAAAGCTGAGCTCAAGATCGACGAGTTGAAAAATAAAGTAAAGAAACCTATGAAAAAGAAGCCAAAGAAGAGTTTGACTCCCAAGAAAATCGAGAACACCGAAGCTACCAGCAAAGTAACTAAATCTATTACAAAAAAGACTCCAACTCGTAGATCAACGAGAAGAAAGTAAGTATGTTCCATTTTAACACTTTCAAATGTAATGTTCTTGTTGACATTTGTTGTGTTTACCATTCTGTTTGTTGTTGTTACTTGTTATTAGAGTTCGATCAACTCCTCGAGGGATGCGAACCTTAAATTTGTTATCTGTTTCTATTCTCATGAAAAATTAGTCTAAACCTGTTCTCTCTTTTGTATCGTGTTAAATACATAAGGGGAAAATGTTGGCAGAGTCACAAACTTTCCAGAACCTCGTTCAACTTGGAGCGTACCATTCTCCCACACAACCTTAATTTCTTTGTGAATAGAAAAGAAAAGTACTGCAAACCTTTCCTCGCGAAATAGTGATTTCGGCTACACCTTCTACATTCATTCCTTCGAATATGTTGAAATCAACAGCCTTCAAAAGTTGAAACAGATTTGAGTGTTTATTATTACTTGGTGATGAGTATCCTTCGAAATAGTTTTTTTCATATGGGGGTTCCAGATAACAACATCAGCATCAGAGCCCACGGCGATTCTACCCTTTTTAGGATATATGTTGAATATCTTCGCCGCAGTCGAACTTAATCATTGGTATACTTCAAAGTACGGTTTTCCATTAATAGTCACCTAGTTACAGCTACAAATCGCATAGCATCCATTTTACCCGTGTTAACTCCTTTATGCCAAACAACTGACATTCTGTCTTCAACTCCATTTATTCCATTTGGTATTTTTGTAAAGTCGTCTTTTCCTAGTAGTTTTTGCTTTCCGTTGAAAGTGCAGTTGTCTGTAGCCGTTAGGTGAAGAAGTCCTCTTTATACAAAAATAAAGAGAACGAATTTCAAATAGTTCTTACGCTGATAAATAGTCCATGAGAGTGTCGGGTGTAGTCGGGTCGCGACTCAATGGAGGTGACATAACATACCTAGCAGCATGTAGCCAATCCTAAAAACTCGAATGAACAATAATTGATAGCGAGCGTACATGATCAAAGTAATGAGAACCATCCAACGCCAAACTTGCGGCTACAGGTTCTCCAAATACGACAGTACCTATATATTGTTTAGGAATTCAGAAATGAGGTTTGATTATTTTGGGTTTTCTACCTCGAGACCTGTGGAGTGCGATGGCATCTGCAGCCCCTTTGCTCATGACATGAACCACATACAGTGGACAATTAGCTTGCTGAGCCAAGAAGCAAGCTCGAGAAGTAGCCTCTTCTTGTAGCTGGAAAACGAGAGATTTCCCAGATATATTACAGTTCTCAAAACTTCTTCAGGCCGACTAAGACAATGGCCTTCAGGCCCAGTGATTCCAAGTGATAGCATCTCCTTTTCCTTCTCACATATGACCGAACCATTCTCAGCATGAACTCTAGCGATTGCACCTAGTTTCGCACACTTCTTCATTGCTAAATATCTGTGATTCAGAAGAAAATGATCTCTATACCATGATAGAACTCATCATCCTCGACCATGAGAACCCCCGCAAAGGCCATGAAGAACTTGAATGAATTAATACCTGAAATGATTCATATGAATATTCCATACCCTACTTTAGTGCGCAAGCAATATCTTTTCCAAGAGTGTACACGTAACAGTTTCTTTAAACTAGTGTCACACAGCAGGTCACGCACCCATTAGACTTTAAAATAATTGAAAAGTCACAAGTTCACGTTTTTCACGTGACACCTGACCAGAATTTTTCATACCATATTCTGGCGCTGTAACAATGGCCATTTCATCAGAGATCAGCGGACTCCACGAGGTTACAGCCATCGATAAGGCGTAATCGCATACCACCTAGTAGAGAAAATGGATTTGCTAAGGACTAAAATCTCCATCAACCTTAGGATCAGCACGATCTCTCCACATTTTATACGCCTGTAACAAAGTTTCCGTCTTTGAAGGAATTACGAAATCGATAATCTGTAAATATCTTTATCGCTTTATATCTTTCTCTGTTCAATAACCATTGTTGTTCCTCCGGATACGGCAGCAGCAGTACCTGTGTAGAAGTCATCTATAGTTACTTCTCCCATGAAAGGTTCCTCCAAATGAGTGTGAGGGTCGATTCCTCCAGGAATGACCAATTTTCCTTCCGCATCAATAATTTTATCTGCTGATGATGTGATACAAGAAGAAACTTCACTAAAGAAGAAGATTGAGTGTTTGTTAAGGATTGTTTTTCTGGTCATGTTTACTCGTGAAGTTATTTTGGATCTCTTCTATATTACGGTACAAAATCAGAACTCGCGTACTGAAAATGTATTCCCATACGATAAATCATGAAAATACCTTACCAAAACTTGAAAACGTTGAACTAGAAGTTTTGGAAAAGAATGTTCAATGTTTACTTACACTATAATACCATCTCTAATGAGAACATCGGCTTTCATAGTAGCATCATCGTTAACGACAGTACCATTTTTGATGAGAATGGACATAGTTGATTAAGAACTTTATTGCTGTTCACAAACAAAGCTGTAATACGGAACAATTACTAGATTACAAAAAGCAGAGATCGAAAATAAACAGAATTTTTCCTTATTTATAAGTGTTCCAACACGCGGAATTCGAAAAACACACGCCCATTTCCATGTGAACTTAGACGGTTGTAAATCATATCTGTAGAACATCTGAATGACAGAGTTTCCAAGAAAGAGAGTTTTTAAATCTTGTCTTTCTCGAAACTTACATTGAAAACAGAAAGATCATTCTTGAAAGCTTGGATCATCATTTAACGAGAACACAGAAAGATCTCTCTTCATCAACTTCTCTTCTTCACTTTGTAAAAACGTTTTGAGCTGAAATAGTTCAGTTTGTAAGCCAAACCCTATTCATACGACCTGCTGTATTTTCTCATCAGAATCTTTGCCAATCTCATCCTTCAAGTAAATATTATTAAAAACAGTGGAAAGCTATTGCGTCTTACCAAATTTTCGATTTGTTTCCAAACCCAGTCTTTTGATTTCTGTAAAGCATTGTTAACATGAGAAACAAAACTGCGAACTATACTTCGAACTTCGCATTCTCTTTATTTGCTCCTGTCTGTCTATCTTCCTTGTCCATTATGACCTTTCTAAGCGAATAAATTGAAAAAATAACCAATTCAATGAATTTATCTCATTGTGTCAACAATCAACAATCAACAAAAAATATAAGAAGAAAACAGAAGGTGTTCATTTTGAAAAAAAAAACAAGTAGAATTCTTAAACAGTCAAAGACACCTTATAATCACGTCCAGAAGAATCATCGATATATACATTTAGTACAATTTTAAACCAAACAACTTTCAATTCGTATTTTTACCGTTTCTGCTGCCGACGAAGATGGGGATTCAATGCAGTGGTACTACTACTAGGATGCGCCTCACTACCGTCAGGTCTGAAAAGTGGAACATAGATAGAAGTTTGAAATTTGGCGCTCACCTGTATGTCGCATCCATATTATCATCATCGTCATCCTCATCATCCAAAGTTGAACTAAGTAAATCACTGGCATCATCGCTCAAATCGCTGATAGAGTCATCCTCATCTCCATCCATATCATAATCTTCTCCGTTCACGTTATTATTGGCAGCATCTCGATCAACATCCCCATTATCAGCATTGCCAGCATTCACTTCATTCTCATCTCCGTTTTCGCCTCCATCAGCACTGTCTGCGACTACGTTCGGGTCAGCAATCAATGGATTGTTAGCTGCAAATTCAGGGTCGTTGGCTATAATAAGATAATATAAATAAGATAGATCAGAAAAATTACAATTTTCAATGTCCTGGTTCGAAGCAGTTTCCCAGCTACCAGAGTCATCACTAGAGGTTGTCTCTCCGAAACTGATAGTACTAGAGCTGTCACTTCCGTCTTCCAACTGAAATATAGGAAAATATAGCAACGCTTCAACATAAATAGACGTACTGCGCCGATTGCATCGAAAACATCTTCGTCGGAATCGTCCATCCCACTCGATGAGTTATCTAAATAAATGATGATCAGGTAATTTGAATTGTGCATTACCATCATCATCATCATCATCGTCATCATCATCATCCTCATTACCATCATCGTCGTCATCAGGTTCATCATCCACACGTCTCTGTTTTCCAACCTGAATAGAGTACTGTGTTCGAAAACTTTTGGTCAATTGTTACCTCGTATATACGAACAATGCTCTCATCGTTATGCAGCAAAAGCTCAGCTGTACTTGATTTCGTTTTTTCAACCACTGCAACATGCTTACTGGCATGATCGCTACCAACATCTAACAAGGCTCGCTTGGAATCAATGGTTGTAAGACACTGATAAATATATGGTCAGCATGATATATTCAATTTATAATTACCGTATAATCGCGAGAATCGAATGTCCTAAAGTTTGGTGAGTATTTGTCGATGGTATCAGAGTCGAAGAAAGACACTATAGGGGAAGCGTATATGATGTTCTGAAGTATTGCTAACTATATCAAAAAGAGGGAGAAGGCGTGCATACCCCTGTGGAATTGAACACAACTTTACATTGCTCAAATGCTGGAACACAATGCAGAAGGCGGAAGCTCCTTACGTCCCACTAGAACAAGATATTCACATTGTGAAAAAAACTTTGGGACTAACCACTTCTGAATTGATAATAATTTCTTTTCCATGCGGATGAAAAACACCACCGTTGCTGTCATTCATCTTATCAAAACAATAAATAAACTGTTGAAGTAAAATTAGGAAAGTTTTCAATTCTATAATCTTACGTTTGAAGAGCTTCGAACGTCAAATAAGTACCCATCGTTCAGAATGAGGTTGTCACACGGGGAGAAAGAAGCCCTATTATGCATATAACGATTACGAGACCCAGTGGGGGCTAAAGTGGATATACATCTCCCAGTTTCAGTATCATAAATCTTAAAAAGGAGAGAACCTGTTCGATATTAGATAGTTTCACAACTTACCCTGGCTTCGGGACCATGTGTTCCCACTATTTTCTCTTGGGTTAAATTTGCGAATTGTACAAACAAATCGTCATGCAAATCATATAAATGTTCTTGAACTTCTCCTAATCTCCACAGAGACGAGAGAGGTGGGATATAAGCAGATGATGTTAAAAGCATATTTCCATCTTTGCTCGGGATAATTGAAGATATTCCAGAGCTGTGACAGCATGTTGTAGACTCATCAGCTCCAGTTTCCATATTAATCCAATGAACATCTCCAGAAAACATTCCAACAATGATATGTTCATCATCAATCTGAGCAAAACAGTGATTGAATGAGACGAACTATTGAAGAACTTACCGAGAAAGCACACGATGTATACATTTCATCATGTTCACAAATGGTACGAACCGATCTGAACTTACTGAACACATAACGCTCATCGTACAACTGAGAGTATTGTCTGAAAAAGAAGAGGAAGTAAGAATTTAAAAAAAATAGAATTACAGTGATCGAGGATTCAAGACGGGCTTTTGGAAGAAACGTAGAGCTAAGTTCTGAGAAACATCCCCAACTCCTCGAGGCTCTGGACACTTATGAGGATAGAACAGAGAGAATTGCGGGCAAGTAGTAACGGGATTTTTACATTGGGAATGTTGAGTTCTGGAATATAATAAGCATCAGTTGTTAATGAAAAAGAAATGCATCTTAGCTATGTAAACTATGTGAATCTGTTGTTTCAAAATCAAAAATGGATTACCTAAAGTAGTCTACTACAATATTATCTAATCCTTTCAAAGGTTTTAATAGTTGAGTTTCCATATGTCCCGTAGGTTTTGTAGGCAAGGGTGTACCAGTTGGACGTAGCGTGAGCCTTCTTGGAAATGATCCGTTTTCTGAATTAGAAAAATCATATATCAGGAGATGAAGACAGATATACTTTGACGACGTGGCCTCGATGGTGTCGCGAAACTCCCTTCATTATTAGTAAGAGAACTGGACGGTCGTGCTTCAATAGAGAAAGCTCCATCTACATCTAAGTTGAGAATTCTTTTCGAGCTTGGTGGAGTTGAACAGGGAAGTGTTTGGGGCTGGAATGAGAAATAGGATTGTCATTCATATAAATTTACCATGGGTTGAAGACGAGAGGGTGTCGCAGATAGAAGACTAGCAGGTACATCAGGAAGATCACCTTCTTTACAAAGAAGTGCGGCTGTGTCGTTTAAACCCTTATTGACTAGATGAGCATGTATCAATTGTAGCAATTCTTTTTCATTATATGTAATTTTGGTATTGTTAACTATACTAGACTTCCATAATTGTTCCTAAAACTAATGCGTAAGTTTGTCATTTGATTACTTTAGCTACCTGAGTGAGATCTTTTGCATTAGCCACATCAAATTTGATCGGTCTTTCGGTGGCGATTTCAATGAGTTGCTGAGCATATCGACAGAAAGAAGCGTGAAAGTTTTTCTTCTCTAGAGCAATAGGCTCTCGCATTAAAGCTGTAATTACACTTGTTTCTAGATTGAATAATCCGATATCCTACCTTGGAGTTCGTTGTCAGCTATCAACGGTAGCTTCGATAGAATTTGCCTAATTTCTTTACAATGTGTCAGCCCGAGTAAAGCTTGGCATGCTTTGGTTCGCAACTGGTCAGCGCCGCTCACAGGTACTTTAGTTTTTATTATTTTACATAGAAGCTATAAAAAAACTTGTTGAATGAATCACAACACCTCAAACATACCATTAATGCATTTGCAGATCGCAATGATCCAATTATCTTTTTCAAATGATCTTTACCATAGTTCAACGATCGAGACCGTCTTCCTTCATGTCTACGCTCCTCATTATGAGGCATCTACAAATAAGAGTGTGCCCATGACAATCAATAAAAAAAACCTTGTTCGATTTGTCGTGGAATGGGCAACAGTTGATAATGATCTCCATTGCTTTTAATTGAATATCAACTTCCTCTTCATAATCAGAAGCATCAGCTAACTCTATCAGATAACTTGAACAAATACCATGATTACTCTTTTTTTTTGTTTTTTGCCCTACCTGAAGCCTTGAACAACAGTACTCCCCACAGAATAGTTTTCACACAAGCCAAGTTGGATTTTAGGACTTGCAGTGGCTATCCAAAGTGTTTCTAATGCATTTCTCAGAATATCATATCTGTAACAGACGAAAGTTAACTATTTTACTGAGGTTTGTCTCACTTTCCCGAAACTTGAGGCCACTCTTGAGATCCAAAGCAAACATGGTACATCATTTTTATAATTCCCAGTTTGTAAAACTCTTCAGCGGGCCACCAGCTCATAACAGTAGTTCTCATTATGGATGTGAGTAATGAAACTGACTGCTCCATTGCTTCACTAGCCATTTTCATACTCTAGAATCATATAAACATTGTGTCGCTGTAACTATGAGGATTACTTTATGAGGTGGAAAATTTGATTGAATAGGAGCAGGCCATGTATGTCCTGCAACCACTGCCTTGTTGCCTATTGCTTTACGAATCTGCTCTAGTTTAGTGAACATGTGTCCACTAATATATCTAAAAATCGGTAAGGTAACAATGCAATCAAACTAATTAACAAACGTTTTCATTGCAGAAACACCATTCCGAACTGATTGAATACTTGTATGCATTTGCTCCTCGGATAACTCAAAGCTTCCGTTCATTGCTCCATCATGAAGGAGAGAAAGAGTAGAAAGCTAAATGATCATAAGTTTATGAAACAGCGTCAACAATTTCCTACGTAATTGAAAAGTATTCGAACACCATTACGACGATCAAACCGTTCCAGGATAGCTTTATAGAAAAGTGCGTGAGTGAAAAACATAGCTGAACTAGCCATTCCACTTTCATAGCTGTGCTCCAGACACCACAGACAGTAACTGAGTAGTTCATGTTGAGCGAGGTTACAGAAAAAAAAACATACTCGACCAGTTCATCCAAAATTTCCCCTCGTAATTCGCAGACTTTTTCCATAACGTCATCATTGTAAGAGAGGTAGTAGAAGCAAGTTGATACTCCGACAGATGCCATACAAGCTCGAGGTACTTTCACTAGAGCACTTAGTCCGGAACGTCTCAAAAACTCTAAAGCGAACTTTCTGTGAACTAGTAGAGAAGTGAGATACTGAAAAGAGAGTTAGAGGGTTTGAAAACAGATAAATTATTACTCTTAGAGCATCGAAAGTCAATCTGACATCTTTGGCGACTTGAAGATCAATAAAGTGAAGAATCATATCAAGTGCTCGTCCCTCGTACGCCAAACAGAGAAGCTACAAGATTTGGATTAAAACTTTGAACTCTGGAGGAATAACAAACATCTTGATATTCGCCTGTCGGGGTAAGGAATTGGAAAATCAGTCGCATATGCATTTCCGTTGTTAAAGGGTATACCTGAAATAGGAGCAAAATAATCAACAATCATTCACAACTTGACAACTTTATGTGTTCCTATTACGTAAGGCTGAACCAAATCCCATCTACTACAACTATTCTCCAAATCTTGTAGCGACCCGAAAGAAGTATTCGGAGGCAACATAGATAAGGGAGGAGTACTCTGGAAAATATAATTTAATTATTTTTGAATGGTCGCGAACGTACTTCTTTTTTGCGCTTCCGGGGAGGGGACGAAGGAATCGGATCATCTCTGTTACTATCAGTATTTTGCTTTATTCTTATGGGTTGCTTCGAATCTATTAAGAACACAGTGATTAATAGAAGAAGACTCGGATAATTGACAAACCTCCAAAAATTTGACGATATGAGTTTGCACTGTCAGATCGTCTCGGCAAGCTTGGAGTAGGACAAGTTTCCGGCTCTTCGTCATCCATTTTCATATCAGGAAATGGACCGGAGGTGTTCGAGTTTTGCTGAGCTAATACTTGGGCTTCTGCTCTCTCTTTCACTAATCGCTTCTACAAGAACAGAGTTAGTTTTAAAGAAAAGAACTACAAAATCACCCTTAGAGTATTTAACCTCTTCAAAGCTATGGGAATGAGTTTCGCATTGTGCGACCTATATTTCGAAGCATTGTCGGTGACTTCAACTGCAGCAGCAAGCAATCCCATGGAATATGCTTGTAATAACTCATTATCACTCGTCGTCGCCCAATTATATAACTGTGGAATAAAATCTTCGGGTTCCTATAAATCTGAATTATATGATATTCCGAGGTAAAACGAACAGCAAAGATAACAGCAGAATCTAATCCTGGAACGCAACTCAACAATAGACGAGCAGCTGCGATATTTAACTCTGTTTGATCTCTACCAAGGAGATATGATATTATTAACTGAATAGAGAGGTTTAAATGTTTTACAGCTTCAAACACATACTTTACTCATGAATACGTCGTTCCTAAAAAGAACTTTAAGCAATAACCCGAATGATGATTGAGGATGTGTCCTGTTCGGATGACGGTCATCTAAAGGATCAGGGTCATGCTTCAAGAACTCATCGATAGCTTTTTCAAGTACATCTGCCATTCTAAACGTAAGGAATAAAATTTCGACTCTCTTGCGATAACTACTTTTGAAGAGTAGGTAGAGGATTAAATCCCGGTTGTGTATGCAAACTATTCCATATACTTATAGATTCTTGAAGCTCATCTAATAGTTCGAACTTTGACGACGAGTCTGTGTTAGGTACCAACTGATTAGTACTTCTTGCACTGACAGTATAGTCATCAGGGTCGAAAGGTATTTCATCGGCCATCTATAAGAACATATAATTACTTGTGTTGACCGACAAACACGAATATATATATCAATTTGATAAGTTGCACTGAAATACTCTCTAGTATGTATACACTGACCGCAAGAATTTAAATAACAAAGCTTTTGCTTTGTATATTTAACTATACCTCGTTACGCAATAGTGGCGCAGTTCAACTATGCGTACCACGCGATGCTACACAAGCCACGCCCATAATGATGTTTTGTACTTGTTGTTTCTTTATACAATTGTTATACTTTTTTGATTTATTCAATATTCAGAATGGCTGTTTTCCACGATGAAGTAGAGATTGAAGATTTCGAGTTTGATGAAGAAAATGAGTTATACCATTATCCATGTCCCTGCGGTGATCGCTTCGAAATATCCAAGTGAGTTTTATCATCACGAGTTTTATCACTGTTTCACTGGTAATCCTAATTCATATTTTGTTCTCTTTGGATTTCTGTGTAATTACAGAATATTCCTAGTACTTAAGATAGAATACTGGCGGTTCCTAAACGTATTATTTGAAGATTATGAAATTGCATAAAGCAAGAGCTTCGAAGAGAGATACTCTAACTTCAAAATAGAGTTGAATAGTGATGAGTAGAGAATTGCTAGTTTCTGTTTGAGTTTGTGCTTCTGAAGTTTTTCTTTCTGCAATAGGAGTGTGTTAGTTAATTAGGTTTGCAACCGTTCCGCTACTGAAATCACCAAGAATGAAAAGCAAAAACTTATATCTTACTGCGCTTACGTTCAGTGCCTACGCAAGTTAATAATAATTATGCTCAGAGAAATGCTAGAGATGGGAGAAGACGTCGCAACGTGTCCAAGCTGCTCTTTGATTATCAGAGTAATATATGATCCAGATTTGTTCATTAAGTTCGAGTCACTGAGTCTGTCTGAGCCACCTGATGCTGCCGTGGAGTCATCTTAAGTTGTTAACTATTACATTTAGTTGTTGAATTTTATTGTTTTCTTTATTGAATTTCACGGGTAATAAATTGTTTCAAATTTTTGTCACAATTATCTTATAGATGTACTAATTTACATGTTTGTGTTGTCATAAACATATTGGTTGGATTACCGCTTCAGTTAGAACCAGGGTCGAAAAATTCTGTTTGTTCTCATTTTGCTGGTGTAACCTACTAGAGCTAAAAAGATTATAATTTGGACTGCTTGTAGAAGCAATGTTATTGGGAGAGCGGAAGTTTTGTCTGGTCTTGTATTTCATGTTATACTCTAGATACAAGTATACCACTTGTAGTAGTTATTTATTCAAAAATTGCCTATGTATCGAATCAAAATTCCTAAGAGATTTCATTTTCAATGATATATTTGGGTGTTCCAGTAATCACATCGTCAACTCATTCTGTTGATGCCACTAAACTTTAGTGTAGTCTAACGCTTAATGCTTTTTCTATAAAAAAAATATTTTTTGTTTGGATTTGTGCTCTCCATTATGACTTATTGATTCAACTTCAATTAGATTGAAAAGCATGTCGTTAATACTTTTATGCCGAGATGAGAGACTTTCTTCTGTGTATAACCCGATTTAGATGACGAATAAAAGAAGTCCAGATTTGAAGCTTCTGATGCATATTCATAGACCCACGTATATTATTGAGTTAGACGATAGAAGAAGAGGCAGGAGTAGCTGACAGACACTTTGCTCAAAATTTCTTTTTAGCATATACGGCAGACCTGCCCTCACTGACCTCTACTTCTGTGAAGGTTCGGTTTCATGCTTATATGAGACCGTCCAACACGTTCCTAGCATCTCCCTCGAAAGAGACGATGCTTTCGCGTTTCCCAATTTCGCGGCTTCTTTTTTGATTGCTGTCGAATGCAGTGTTTTTCTTCAACATTATGGAATACTTTGATTTATTTTTCGTTTTCACTTCGGAGCAGTTATTGACCAACAGATTATAATATTTTCGCTCATTCTTCGGAGTTTCTACCGAGTCGTCCAGACCTTTTGAAAAGCTCTTGTTTTTTCTTTCTTCCTGAAGAGAGCATTCATTAACTGAGATACTTTCTTCTCTTCATCGTCTTCAATTTCTCCTTTGAATCCTTTTACTGGATTGTCGTGCATGTTCTTTCACGTGTTTTCCCAAGGGAGTTAATTGTCTTCTTTAATAAAATGTTACTAAATCCCAGTGTTAAAAGCATTCTCTTCCTCTAAATGCTTTTAATCTTTTCTCAACTAATTGTTATTTTGTAATAAGAGATTTACTCCAAGTTCTTCTGCTTACAACGCTTATGACTATTCATTAACAGAGCTCGTCTTTGTCCATCACTTTCGAAAAAAAACTCAAAACTTATGTTCGTTCAAGAAAAAAAGATGACAAAATTGAAAAAAGTTTAAAATATTCTTTTGTCTTGTACATCTCTGGGTTGGAGACGTCCTAAAATGATGAATGTCGTCCTTTTTCTAATAAATTCTGACATATAGAGAACTTAGCTTCTTTCTCTTCCTTCATTCCATTATTTTCTTAAAACGAACATGAAAATATGGAAATTGTTCTTTTGATTCTTTGTTTGTTTTTAATTTGCTCGAGAGAAAAACTATTTTTTCTTCAGTTTCTTCTGCGTTTGTTCTTACGATCTGTCTGATTGCCGGGATGCGATAGGAAAAACGAAGACTCAATATTAGAGGGAAGTAACCAGCAGCAAAGGTAACTTCTACTTTATTTTTCTCTTCTTCCCAACTCAATTTACTCAATTCTATTTCATCAGCTTTCACTAGATCATATATACAAATTTTGGTTCTTAATAGTGCTTCCTTTCTTCAAAAGACTTGACGACGAGGCTGTTATGAAGTGTTCGATCGTCGTAACCTAATTGTCGACTTGGCATGCTCTGATTTCGCATCTCTTCTATCTTTTGCCTCATTCAACTCTCACATCCATAATAGTTCGTAACACTGCAAGTCAACTTATTACTCAATGTAAACTCATTCTTCCATTTTACCTATTTCAACTATCGAAACGTGATGAGATCTTCTTTTTGGGTAAGTTACTACTAGAAGTCTATGTCCCACTAACTTTTCTATCAAACTCATTCTTTCTTTCTACTTTTTTTGGTCTCGAGCTTTCTTTTCAATCATTGCTCTAATTGGTATTCATAGAAATTTACGAAATTCTTCCTTTTTTCTCTGAAAGTTCATAAGAGACAATTATTCTAGATGAGCCATCCCGGTTGGGTGATGGTTTCTCTTCTAACTGAACTGTTATCTTCTTATGGAGGTCATGGAAGACCAGATCTCAATTGTGCCAATGACACTGATATTATAAACAGTTTGCTCAAAGACTCTTATAATAAGGTATTCAGAGTTATTATGACTAAATTCTGTATTCAAATCCTTCAGCATTATTTGCCATCACACCCAACTCAAGTTCGCGTAGATATGTGGGTTCAAGAAGTCACAGCAGTTTCAGAACTCACTCAGGATTTTGAAATAGGTTTTTACTTCTATTTTCTTTATTTTCTCCAAATAATGATTGAAAAAATACTTTTCTTTCTGTGCTGTGATCGGAAACTCGCTATTTTCAAAAAGTTCTCAAGCATTTTCACACTATTTCAACAACTATCACTCGCTCATCGAATTCAATTTCTTGTCTCTCTTCCTCAATCAGCTTCGGGTCATCCGAATTGTCATCTCGTTTACATAAACATAGAGTTTTTTTACTCTTTTGAAGTCTTCAAAACGTCCTGCTCATTAGTGGAGTAACTTCAGAAGGACAAGTACCAGCAACAATACAATTTCAAATTTCAGATTTGTATATTAATGAATTTTGGGAAGACCCCGCACTAGTCTTTGACTATATGAACCCATGTAAATCTAATATCTCTTTCGACGATAAAGTCCTCCAGAAGCTTTGGATTCCTAACACATGCTTCATAAACTCAAAAAACGCCGCTATTCACGAATCTCCATTCAGGTGCATCATAAGGCTCTTGACTTATGCTTTGGAATTGATTTACAGGAACGTTTTCTTGATGGTTTTCGCTAACGGAACATTATGGACCAACTATCGGATGAAACTGACTGGACCTTGCGACATGAATCTCAAACGGTTTCCCTTTGATAAGCAAAGATGCTTCTTAACATTCGAATCGTATGTTCGTACTACTCAATCTTTACGTACTAATACTTGAAGATATAACTATAATACGGGTGAAGTTCGAATGCAATGGAATCAGCCATATCCCGTCATGCTACTCAAGACAATCCAATTACCCGACTTCGAAATGGTTAATTTCAGTGTCATAGCTGTAGAACAGGTTAGAATAAATAACAATGCTTGCATTGCTAATATTTTTTGTGTATTAGATGTATCCGGCTGGATGGTGGGATGAGTTGACTGTTGCTTTTGTATTCAAAAGACGATATGGATGGTATATACTTCAGGGATATATTCCAACTATGGTCACTATTGTAATTTCATGGATCTCTTTTTATCTTGGGCCAAGGTAAGTTTCCATCATTGGCTAGTCTTTATCACCATCTTTACCTCAGAGCCATTCCTGCACGTACTATGTTAGGAGTGAACTCCTTATTAGCTATGACATTTCAATTTGGTAACATTATCAGAAATCTTCCTCGGGTCTCTTATGTAAAAGCAATTGATGTATGGATGTTAAGGTTTATTATTTTTCTAATTATGTCAGATATATGTGTCATATTTTGAAGTGGAATGCTTTTCATTTTTCTCTCTCTTCTGGAGTTGGCTGTTGTTGGTTTTATGTCAAGAAATGATGGTTTACCACCGAAAGCAAAAAAGAAAAGGAATAGAGACGATGATGATGAGGAAGAGTTCTCGTGGAAAGGTATTCAAACAAGTCCTCATATGGAACTCCGACAGGTCAGGCTCTCATACACACGTTTCATACTTTTTTGATTGTAGTTCTGGGTGGATAAACGTATACATTCACTTCGCAATTCTGAACATGTAAGATACAAGCATTATAAACCGCTTTTTATTCTTATATATTAGGAACCCAATATACCTTTACCCGATACAAGTTCGACGATGGAAGTGGAAGTTCCGTATCCTATACAGAGGAGGCGTCGACGCTTAGGATTGTGGGACACAATTCGTGCCAAATGGAAAGCACTTGGCCCATTGCGTCCCGAAACAGTGGATTTTTATAGGTTTATTTTGTTATAGTAAAATTCTTATATTACTTTTCAGTGCTATCTTGTTTCCAACCTCATACTGTCTTTTTAATATAATGTAAGTCTTCGAACCATCTGGAATCTAATATATTCGCTCCTTACAGATATTGGGGATACTATTTATCAAGTCTTTCAGCTGCTATTGAGGATGATCCAGGACCTGTCTAAAAATATGTTGTTATGATATATCATGATTAATAAATTTGCTATTAGAGCAACCGTTCAAGAATGAGTAAACTCGAAAATGAAAAACTGAAATAACAGACGCTACTTTCACGTAAAAAAATTTCACGTCATATCCACGTGACAGATTTGCTAGTTTGTTTTAAACTTCCCATGAGACTTGTTCGACTATATAGATCTTCACATATAACAATAATAAATAAAAAAAAATTATTTTAATAACAAAAATCTTCATAATATGCTATGGCACCGGTCAAAGCATTGCGTGAGATAAGGTAAGTTTGGCAACTATTTCGATCGAATATAAAGAAACGACTGAGATTAGAAAACAAAAACAATTGGTAAGTGAACATAGAAATTTAGAGTACTATCAGAGTAAGCTCTGAAACTGTATAACTGAGCAAATTGACGGTGTTTGACACCAAAACCGGTCAACAGAAGAATTTCAGCAAAGTTGGAATTCGAATTCAAAAAAGGAGAACATATAGACTAACTAATAAAACAGACAGGAATACAGATGGGGATGAGCTCGAATCGATTGTTGAAGCTGTTCCTAATCGAATCGTTTTAGGAGGACTTAATGGTCCTATGCCACCATCATTATAAGCTGCTACTTGTATAGTATACATGTACATAAGCCTCAAGCCATCTAAACGAGCAGATGGTTTTTCAGAGCTTGTGAGGCGAGAGTTAGGCATTGAGAGAACAACAGCCTCGGAAGCTGTTTCCGAAATATAAATGTATATCTGCAAATAAAAGATTCCCAATTCAATAATATTTGTTCATTCTACCTTGTACCCAGCAGAAACATCACTGCTGTTATCATTGCGCAAATCGACAGCCGACCATTCAAGAATTGTCGTGTAACCACTGTCATCACTTAATGGCTTCAGTGAAAGTTTCGTTATTGAGGGAGCTTCCTGTGGAGGATATTGTTTTGTCCATATCTTATGTGGATGGCTCGGTTCGCCATGGCTCCCCTTGAAAGAACAGAAATGAAACGAATGAGCAAAGTAATCAGTTACCTTGTTATTATAGGGCATAACTGAACAAGAATACAGTGTTTCTGGTTCCAGCGCAGCTAATGTCCATTCGTAAAGCTGAGATGATACCATAGCTGTTACCGTTTCACGTTTTTCGGCTTTACATGATATCTGAGTCACAATGTAAGTAAACGAATCTATTAGTTGTACTTACCTTGATAGCATGCGCCACTTGGCATTCATTCTCTCCTACCCACTCCCATTTAAGATGAATATGAGTTCCATTCAAGGGTACAGCTGAGGTGATATCAGCAGCTCGAAGTTTTCCTAAAATTACTAAATAAACGCTTCCAACTTAATCTCCATACCAGTGCTACTGATCAGAGCCACAGTGTCGGTACTAACAGGAGACGGGCCTTCGTCGTTGAAAGGACGTATAGCTAGAGCAACTGCTCTACATCCTTCAGTTGAGTTCAATCGGACAATCGCTTGCGGTTGTTTCGATTCTGAAATTTCCTTCATATGATAAATTATCAAATGAAAGGAATACCTAAGTGATGGGTCAATACATGAGGTTTTTCTGACGATTGGTCATCAATCGAAGATTCACTCCAAGTTACACGATATCTCAAATTTTCCCCTGATTTATGGTCCTGAAATTAATTCATAAGAGAAAATTGGAAATTTCAAAACTGTACTTGTTCAATTGGTTTCCATTCCACTAATATTGTTCCTGGATCAATAATCTTCCAGTTCAGATCTTCTATTGGATCTTGTGGTGCAGCTGATGGTGTATGAATCCATTCAGTTGGAGTTGAAGGCTCTCCGAGCGAACTCGCATCAAGCGATCGAACGCGGAACTGGTAATCATTGTTAGGTGTTAAAGATTCTAAGAAAAATCCTTCAGCTTCAGATTTAGTTATGAGGTCTCTTGGAATGCTTCTCCATTGCCTATCAGAGCGAGTTCGGATTTCTACCAAATAACCTTTGACACCATCATCCTTTAAAAACGAGTTGAGCATTTCATTTAATATATGAAATAGATTACCTGGTAATCTCTTGGTTCACGATGAGACGGCGGTTTTTTCCATGATAGATGAATAGAATTATTTTTTGTAGAAACGGTTACAGAAACAGGTGGAGGAGGAGAAAGTTTACTAGGGAACTCAATTGATGCTCCTCCAATAACAGAAGAGCAAGCATATCGACCCAAATGTTTCTCCGAGTGTGGAATCTTAATGAGATGTATAAGTTGTGCTTCCGATCAATAGAAAACCTCCAGATCCATTTTTTGGTTGAGAGTGTAACCAGTATATCCTGAATGTTTTCTGTGTTCATGAATCTATAAGATACTTTTTGAAAAAATAGAAGTTCAAGTACAATTGCCTTAGTCTTCATGTGCTTTTTGTTTTTATGCCCTATAGGCTTATCATTCAGCGACCAGCTAATTAATGTTTCTGGACATTCATGTTGACATTCCAATTCAACTTCACAAGTCAAGTTGGAAAACTCAGATGTGCTTCCCTTATTTGTTTTAACTCGAATTCGCGGCTTATCTGAAAATTCGAGGAAAATTGAATGGAAGTGACGGCTTAAAAACATACCAACGACAATAAGATGAACTTGTGAATGAGCTCTTCCAAGACGATTATGAGCAGAACAGAAGAATAATCCTTCATCATCTAACAAAATGACTATTTGAATGAAAAAAGTTGAACTTAGAATCTACCAGGCAAGATGTCTTGTATAATTAGAATTCCTTTTTCCTCCCGGACTCTGCCCTTGTGGGGTAATTTGTTGCCACCTGCGTCAGTCCATTTGCTATGTCCATGAGGCGAAGCTTGATATATACAAGGCATATTCTGCAAAACGATGTTCATTAGAATTTAGAATTTCTATTTCAAAATACCAATGTTGATCCTTTGATTGCATAGACTTTCAATGGCATGGCCTGCAATGGGAAAGCTGGAGCGGCGTCCTTGACGAATACATGAGCAGAGCTTATTGATACTCCAATTTCATTGCTTATTATACATTCATATATTCCCGAATCGGATAAACGAGTATCACTGACCGTCAAACTGAAATGTATTTGTTGTTTATGTGAAAAATCTCCAAGAACCTACCGACTGTCATCAACCTTATAACGACTCCTCTCGTCAGGTTTCATCAACAATGGAACAATTGGATTAGCATCTTTAAACCATTCAATTGTTGAATGACGATCTGCATTCGATAGTGGACAATCCATATGGAAAGTAGATTCCGTGGAAACCAAACGATCGTACAATGGCAAAACAACTGTTGGACGCGCTATAAATTTTTCTTTCAATATTCTGCCTTAATTCGAATACAAATTTACATTTGAGTGTTAAAACAACATCCGAATGAGCAGCGTTCAATGAATTTCCGGCTGTACAACGATATCTTCCTGAATCCGCCATTTGAACATTGTCAATTCTTAAAATTCTTCCAAAATTTGTAATGGTTGCCCTGGGACCGAGGGAATGTCCATCAACTCGAGTCCATTTATATGTTGGTACTGGGCTGAACAAGGAAAAGTTAGTGGGAAATTTCCGAAGAATTGAGACTCACTTTCCGTACGCAAAACATTCGATGTAAACTGTATCTTCTACTGTTGGAGTTTCTGGGAATACTTGGGGTAGATGACTAGGTATCCTAGGAGGGCTCTGAGGTTGAGCTCCTCCAACCCTGAGACGGAAGAATGGTCCATAGTGTCCAGATTGAGTGGAAGACAATGATAAAGCACACGCATATCTAGAAGAGAGAATACTGAATACATGTCAGTAATAAAAACAAACTTCTCATCGTCATCTGGAGTTACGGAGGAGAAATAAAGAGATCCATCAGATGAGATGAAAACTCGAGGTGACTGATGCAAGACACGATTTGTTGTTCCAATTAGCCAAGTGAATGAGAAAGATTCTGAAAATAGAAAGTAAAACTATTGAACGAGAAGAAGAGGAAAGTTTTATTTCAATTCCCCAAACCTCAACGTGATCTGAAGTGATATGATTATCATAATATCGGCTTAATTGTGCTTAATACATATAAAAGTTCAAGCTTCATCGTGAGCAAACAGGCAGGATAGAAAAGAAAAAAGGTGGTCAGGTGAAACACAATAAGCTTTGGTGAAGCTGAGCAAGCTACAAACAGACAATTTAGTAGTTTTCAGTATTAACATATGCTATTTCCATGCTATTTCGGATGTAAGAAAGCCACAAAGGTACTATCAGAACTACTTCAACTACAAACTTCAGGTTAAAACTCTTAGTGCAAGTGTTTCATGTAAGTGAGGCTATTCCTAACTTGTGAGAAGGATGTGAAAAAAGACCTTTCCATTTCGAAACCGTGAATGTGCGAGTGCGTACTTGGTTCTTGAGTTACAACTCATTACCATAAATGGAAATGAGAATCTCAAGAAATCAATTAAATGGTGATATGTGCAAGTGCTTTCAGATTCAACTTTTCTTTCCGTTCTGTGGAGAAGCGAAGAGAGAAGTAATCTTCAGTGACTAAAATGTGAAAAAAAAAACATGTGCAGGTGCGAAAAGAGTGCGTGTGTGTGCATGTGTGTGTTGTGGTTGTGTGAGTGCGAGTGTTTTTTTCGTTTTTAGAAAGGCAATAAGTTTTTCATGCGTTTCCTTCGCAGCATATTGGTGAAAGAAACTTATTGGGTAATGATTTTTGAAATTTTTATATGAGCTTCGAAAAGGTATCTGAAAGGGATTCTATCTGACAGTCCAGCATGGAAATCTGCAAGAGTTACTTCTTCTAAGAGAAAAGAATAGAGAGTACGAAATATAATACAAGTCTTACAAGGAAACTGTTGGAAAAATAAAACAAAGTAGTATATGGAAAAGAAAGAAAAATAACTAAAAAATATGGAAGAGAGAGAGAAAGAGAGAGAGAGGGGGAATACACAAAGAAATATGTGGAGAGAGGGTAAACAGAGAAATTACAAGGGAGGAGATGTCTATCTTCTGACGTAACCTCATTTGGCATATTCATAATTGAAATAGGTTTCTATTCCATTAACAAAAGATGCTAAACATCTAACAAATTGACAAAATCCAACAAATTATTTCGTTGTGAAATGACTAAACAACTTGTTGAATGAAATGAAAAGAATTGGAGACTAACAAATTTTTGAATATGAAAGACAGAAGACGACACCCTTCTGACAGAATTGGCCAAATAAGCAATAGAAATGAGCATCTTCAAAGATTTAACAACAGTGCAAAAGAGATTTTGCCTCAAGCAATGAAAGCTTTAAAACATTAAACGAAAAAGGGGTTCCAAGCCATGAAAGAGGAAAATGGGTTGAGACTTTTGATGAAGTTGAAGAGCGATCTCTTCTATACAACATCAGCTTCAACTACATCATCTCTTCCTGTCTTCAATATCCTCTATCTCTCTTTCTCTCTTTCTCTCTTTCTTGATTCCTATGCGTTTCATTCCATTTCATTGAACTCTCTATATACTGCCTTATTCTCTTCTTCAGCTTTTCATTCTCTCCTCATTTAGTCTACTCTATAAAGATTTTTCTCTAATTTAGGAGGGGAGTAGAGGGAATCGGTATTCTATCTGAGAGTTGAGAGCGACTAAATCAACATTTGCCTTGAGCGATGGATACGACTATAAAGCTAATGAAAGGACATGCTAGACATGACAAGAATTTGATTAAGGAAAACAAAAAAAAAGAGGCAAAAGACGTGAGAATTCAGATGAGAGAGACAAGGAAAATGAAACTTTCAGATACATCTAGCTTTTCTATACTACCAAGACAATCTGTGATTTGTTATAAACGCTGGAAGAGAAAAAAATGGGAAAACAGAGCAAACTCTTGATGTACAAAGAGATGAGCATTAACAGTAGACGAAATGAGATACATCATCTGTACTGTATAGATTAGGACAATGAGTAACACAATCAAAACATACGTTTTCATTTGTCCAGTTGAACGTAGTGACCAGAAGGATATTAATGAAAGATAAACACATTTTAAAACTGATTTGTAAAGTTTTTTGGTGATCAAAATAAGGGAGAGATAGAAATGAATGCTTTACTATGTCAGGGTTACCTATGTATTTCACTATATACATAGTTAAGAACCGTTAGTTCAATGTAATGAAATTAAACGAGAAAATAATATAAAATCTCTAAGATAATGATGAGGAATGATGTTGTTGAGGTCAACTGAACAATGAAAAATCAGTTTTTTTGAATAAAAACTTGAAAAACACAAGTATTTCAAAAAGGAGAGTATGAGAGTTGTTTGTAAGTTCGAAAGAAGAATAAAAAAGAAGACAATTTGATATTTATCACAAAATAAATTTATAAAATTTAATTATAAATAAACAATTGGATAACAAAATTGATTTTTAGCTTCCTCTTTCAGTCAGTGAACTAAGGGAAATCAAAGAAACGAGAGAGAGAGAAATGGAGAGAGGAAGAGAGCGAGAGAGAGTTTTAGTGCGAATTTCAGTCAATTCATTTGCATATGATATATTCACCATAAAAGAGAGTAATATGTTCATTTACATATATCTATACATAATACAATGTATGGATTTTTTTATTTTTTTTCTGAAAAAAAAAATGAAAAAACTCTTTTAAATACTACAAATAGCTTCAAAGGAAACGTTTTTCCATTTCTTTGAATATGACTGATGAGGAGAAAAGAGAGGAATAGAAGACTATAGGAGATGAAGGGTTGGAAGGGGCATCTCATCTGAATTATCTGACGTTCCCTTAAAGTTGTTTTGGCGTAATGTTCAAAAAAAGGTTGTCATCAGACAGATCTGATGGCAAAACTTGAAAGAAAGTTGGCTTTTTACATCTTCTCTCTCACGAACTCGACCGGTTATCAATGCAAATCTCTAACTTATTCATAATTCAAAAAAAATTGTTTTTCTATTTTACGCAGAAAAAAAAAAGAAGAAGAAAATGTATTTTTGGAAATATCTTTGAACATCATCACGGTTGTTTAGCCAATATTGGAGAGACTATCTACGTCTCCTCTTAAGGTACATATAGATAAGGAAAATGTGAGCATTGATGTTGAAGAAAAGTCAGAAGGAACGCACAAACTGACTTTTCGAGGACACACAAGCACACGTTCTCATGGGAAAAAGTAAAAGCTGAATCAGACAGACGGCTGTTACAGAGAGCGAGAGATTACAAATTGTACATAATAATGAAGAGAATAGAAGATAAGTAAGGGTAATGCAACCATTCTGTGTGTTAAGAGAGATGAAGAGAATCAAAGAAAGAGAGAGAATAGAAGGAGAAAAGATAGAGATAGAGAGAGATATCAATCTATTTCAATAGAAGCTATACGTCATATCAAATGACATTATCCCAACTCATCTAACCTCTTGTTCTTTCAAGCTTCTCATTTTGAATTTTTAAAAGAAAACTGAATACAAACATTGAAATGATTATATAAATTGAATGAATGCAATGAATGAATATCTCCTAATATAGTATTTATCTCCATTGACAGTATAGCTTTCAGATAGCTTTCAGATTCATCACGATAATGTCAAATGCGTGAAAGATCTGGTGAAAGGTTCAAAAGAAGAAGAAGACAATTCTAATAGAAGCAAATGAGATGAATGTCAACAGTTTGTTTTGGAAGAAGAAGAAGGAGAAGAAGAAAGCGGCTGAAAGAGAAAATCAGTTCGTCTACTTTTTTTTTCATCAAAAAAAAAGTTGCAAAGTGTGGAAAATAGATGAATGAAAATGTGAGCCAAAAAAGTTTTCAAACGCGTTTGTCAAAGAAATAAAATGACGCAACTTCAATGAAATTTTACTTTTCAATTGTTTATGGGAGAGTAGGGAGGGGAAAGAAGAGGGGGGGGGGAAGAAGAAGTGAGAGAGAGAGGAAGAAATAAACTTTAAGAAAAAGGAAAGAATAAAGAAAAGTTTATAAAATTGTAAACGAGAAGATGAAGCTTCAATCATCAAGCTTACAACGCTCATTCATGTATGCGAGTATGTGATGCGTTTTAAATAGGAAATCAATCCACTTTATGTGAATTATCAGTCATAGTCTTCATGATAATGCTAATAAAAATTGTTAAAAAGTCTCGATGCAGTTGGCAGAAGAGCCCAAATCAGTTTAAAGTACATAATTGAATAGAATAAGCCTGATTCCATCTCTAAATTAGCATAAAAGGCGTTTAAGCTCTTTCAACGATTGGGCTTATTTAAACTTTTTTTCTTTTTAAAAGCTTTTAATTAATAGTATGTTTAAAACTATTCAAATATCTCAATTGTTACAACGAATAGATGGAAAGAGGAACAGCTTAAAGATAAAGCTTAAATGTATGAGAAACTTGATGATTGATTTCTTTCAATTTTAAACTAAATTTGGATGTGAATGCATCACTTTCATTAGAACGTTTTCTGATTATGCTCACTATCAAACATCAAATGAAACCAAAACAAAGCTATTTCTTCAGCAAAATGGATTAGAGTAACCAGCAAAAAAAACATTTTTTTCTCTTTGAAAGCTGACTTTGCGCCCAATTGGACATAAACTGTTTCAGAAAATGACTGGGATAAGCCAATATCCAAATTTGGATGAGATTTATGAATAAAAGAACGGAAAATAGTAAAAGAAAGAGAGTATGTAATAGAGAGAAAGATAGAGAGAAAGAGAAAGAGGGAGAAATAGAATAAGAGAGATTTTGAATGAGAAAAAGGAAATAAATGGAAAGATCTTACATTTTCTGTGTCTCATTTTATTTCCTCAACTCATTTTCAATTTCTTGCTACTCTTCTCCTTTCTTCCATCTATGGTACATACTATCATGGGGTTATATTCAATTTGAAAGAAAAAAAAAATTTTTGAAGCTTACAGCATCATCAAAGAAAAAAAAATCGTAAAGTTTACAATAGATGATTGAGACATTAGATAAATCGTTTGTTAACAAAAAAAGAAACAAAACTTGTTCGTTTTACAGATGTTCCTTTACACGCTCTAGATAGGATTGATAGATTTGCGGTCGAAATTAAAACAAATAGAAGTTTTTGGAAGGAAATTTATAAAAACAAACTCAAACTATGAGAGTTTTCCGATTAGGTTAAAGGAAAGTCTGTTTGTATAAGAGAGTTTCCTTTTCTCTCTTGAACTTCACCTTAGGCTATCGGAGCATTGCTCAACCGATATTTGTCTAATCTATCACTTCGATATGTTTTTTTGTTTCTACCCTCCCATTGATGTTTTGTGTATCGATGGAAAAATGAAACTCACTTGGTTGATGAGCAGGAGCATCACACTCAAGACGGGCACCTCCTCCAACTAATGGTAGAACATCATGGCGTCTTTCAGCAAAAGAATCCAAAAAGGCAGGCTTCAGAAGAACAGAAGCGCTTCTGTTAAGAAATAAAATATTTATGAGAAAAAGATAGTCTTCCCACCTTATCTTTCCAAATTCATTAGAAGCGACACAATGAAAAGACGAATAGGCTAGTGATGAAAGAGCGGGCACGAGCAAAGTGCCTCCAGATAACAAGTAAGATTCGTTTGATGATCGTGACGAACTTGACGAATGAATCTGCAAGCGAAACATATTATTCATAAAATCCGGCGCGAAACATACAATTTGAATATCATTCTTGTACCAAGTGATCGTTGTAGGTGGTTGTGCTTCTACTGAGCATGGAATAGGAACGAAGTCTGCTCCATTCCTTGGGTGAAAGTATATTTCAGAAAGACTCGAAGAAACAATCTTTGGAGCTCCTGACAAAATATGTTAATAATGAAGCTTCACACGTGTGAGACAGAATACCTTTAGGCAATAGCATTTGCTGGAAGTTAAGCATCCGTCGTCCAGATTGTGTTAATGAGCAAATGAATGGATACGTGGCCGACGTGGAAGTTGTTATACTGAATTCCGTGGTTTAAAGACGCGAAAAATTTGCATAATTGCTATGTTTCACGTTTTTACGTGAAAATTTTCTTTAAAATTTGAATTTCTGGGAAAATTGAGAAGCCTTCCCTTGGTATAAGATGAATCTCTTCGGCTCTTTTTATTTTTTTTTCAAATATTTCGTTAAAAATAAGGAATTGAGTTCATTTATATTTCATTTCTTTACCACTTATCTTCATCATTAATTCCCGAAAATCTTTTGATTGCTTCACATCATCAAACCCATTGATATATCCGTTATAAATAAAACTTTTTTTTCTTTTGTTTTTATATAAAGAAATAATGATTTTTGACTTACATTGAATAATTTCCATCAGAATGACGGCTTATAGCCCGAGGGGTATGATATATGAGGGAAATAATCCAAGTACTTTCATGAACTCCTCGTTTATATAAATCCTACAAGCAAAGAAACTTATATTAGTGTCAACTCTTCACAATTACATCAAGGATATCTATGACGTCATCAACTTCTGTTTGAATTTCTGAATGGAATAACTGTCCACCTTCTGATTCACAAAATTTCTTAAACAAAGAGAAATTTGAAGCTTCCCTATATAGCAGTTCAACGAAATACCTGAGCCTTATGATAAGTTTCTGGTTGAATGGACATCTTCACGCACCATTCTCCCGACGATATCCAACCTAGAGGACATTGCTCATCTAAAATAATTTTATTTTGTTGAAGAAGAGCTTTTTTTTTGTTTTTTTTCTTTATTGTGCTTCACTCGTTTACATATTATATTATTTATTTTCAGTGCCAATACAACTTTTATTGTTCCATTTTTCTGAACAGACTCTGACAGTCCATGTATCTCTATATGGAAAGAATATCCAGATGGTCTGATCTGCTGCTGAATTGCCGATGATCATCGCTCATTTAAGGATTTTCATGGCAAATGACCAAGAGAGTTTTGTCCATTACAGAAAGAATTAAGTAAATCAAGGACTTCCTTCGGATAACTTCATTAAGCATCTCCATCTAACCTATCATTATACTTCATTTAGCTATTTCACTCACTTATCTCATTAACTCATTTTTTTCTCATCTCCTTAATGAAGACAGCAGATCGTTTGACTAAAAAAATAATTGTTTCTTTAATGTCTAACATTAAGTCAATATTAACCATTTATTTGTTTTTACTCAATAACCTTTGATGAAGAAGTTGGCTTGTTGAGAAAGAACCAGGCCAAACCCGTGCTGTACTAACTCACTCGCTCCCCCTCTCTCACTACCTCTTCGTTCACCCATTATTTTGTCTAAAAATCTTTCAATGATCTCTTATTGTATATGAGGATACCCTTATTTATAAATAATGTTCGATTACTGTTTTTTCTTAGTCGGGTCATATCTTCAACTCAAGTACTAGTCTCTCTTCAAAAATTTTTGTTTAAAAGAAACATTCCCCCCAGCTTATTTCAACTTATTCTCTCTTTTCCACACCTTTCGCATTATCCAATTTCAATCACTATTATCACCTCCCATATAAAATTTTCTTAAACAAACTGTGTGATTGACAACTTCATTGCAGCTTTTCACATTTTAACCGACTGACCCTATCAACACGTTTTGATGAGAGCCTTAAGAATGCCATCATCTGATTGTAAATTATGTCAATCAGGTGACAGAAAGGAGATCAGAAGCGGTATTCTGTTGTTGTCACGCTGTCTCTGATGAGATAAATCTGACAAGCAGCTTCGAGATGAAGCCTCGGCACCAGACTGACCAGCCATCCGAACGGATAAACGGATGATTTTTGGGATGACAAGTGAACGAATTAACCCAAAAGAGACTGCAAGGATATGAGACATAGGCAAGAGAGCTGTCAGAAGCTCAAATGATGAGTTAGGTCGTACACGGATTATGGCTGCTTTCTTTGAGCTTATCCGAACATAATCCCAGATGGTTTGGGTTATTGCGTATTGCCAGCTTTGACATAATTTGCCAATTTTTTTGTTCTAAACTTCTCGTGTGTGTTTGTAACACAGAAAAAAACAAAAAAAAAGAGAGAAACTCTTGGAAGTCGGCATGGGACAGACAAATGTATAAGAGATGATCTTCTTCAGGGAATGAAGTTTTGGTCAAACGCAGAGAGTGATATGGTCATCAACTGGATGTAATTGACAGGAAACTGCCAATTTCACTTGCGTGATTGTTGAAAATTCTTTTAGTTTGATTGGATGAAGGAATACATTGATAAAGAGAGAGAGAGAAAATAAAAAAAACAAAAAAAAACTTACTGAAAAAGGCTGTCGATAGTTGAAGAATAGAAAGGAATAGAAAAATAATATTCATTTCATAACGTTTATGAAGAGGACAGTTCAATCTGAAATGAAAGAAAATATGAAAAACTTCAAAGAGCATGGCGTTTTGCGAGGATTAAAAAGACGATAAATCATCTTCAGCGAAGGAGAAAAGATTACATTTACTTGAACAAGATGAAAACTTAAAAAATTACGGAAAATGAAGGAAAGATAGAGTAGTGTGTTGATGAAGTGAGTCAAAACAATGTATGAAACTTGATGTTATATTGGATTGTAAAGATATAAATTTCGTATGTAATATTGTAAATAACAATACTACTTTGGTCATTTTCAAGATTGAGAATGAAAGGAAAAAATGATATTTGGTAGAGTAATGTTCAGAATGTTGTTGTTGAGGTAAACATAATGACCAGAATGAGAATAATTATGTGAAAGATAGATGATTAATATCATAATATTATAAAAGAAAAAAATCAATGAACTCACGGCAGAGTTGAGGAGAAGAAAACGTTTAAAATGAAAATAAATTTGAAAAATGATTGACAGAGATGAAGTTGGATGAAACATACATAAAATCCGTTTTAGTTTGAGAATAAACGCTTTAAAGAAGCACATCATCAGGTTGCATAACAGATGTTTTGATTTGAAAAAAAAAAGAAGAAGAAGGAGCAAGATGAAATATATATCATAAGAAGTATTTTATTGTGAAGATTTGAGCTGAGAAAGAAAGATGAAGGCGTTCCTAACATGATGAACGGTCCGGATATGATTATGTAAGAAGAGAAGAAAAGGAAAGAAATGACAGATGGACTTGGGAGGTCGGCATATATGGAAAGCTTTAGCGACAATTACCCAAGTAAAAGATACTCGTCAACTTTTTTTTTCTCTTACCCAAATGCAACCGCTTAACGTCTTCTAATAGAGTCAAAATAAAAATAAGTTGAGATGTATCAGATTCCACGTATGCTTTCACGTAACGTGAGATTCGAATAATATTCATTTAAGATGATTTGATATAGAAGCTCATAAGTAAGACTATGGAATTAGAAGGTAAGCACGATGAAATGTAAAAACGAAAGTTCTCTGATAAACGAGGAAATATGTTAAACAAATGATTAGCGAACAAGAAAATAAGATACATGAAGATGTTAAGCGGAAATTCAAATAACAATAAGAGCTTAAAAGTAAAAAAAAAGAAATGTATCATGAGTAGATAGTGAAATAGAGAGGCTTTTGCAAATGGAAATTTGATAAATGATGAATCCATTATTTGGACGAAGATGGACATGTGTGATTCTCTCTGCTCAGCTGGTAAAAGGTGCAAATTAAATAAATTTGATGAGAATTGTTGTGAGATGAATTATAAAAAAGTGAGAGAGCGCAGAGATATGAAATTCAAATAAAACTGTCTTTTGTATGATTTCAGCCGAGGATTCGCTGTGACATTGTGTTTCCATTGAAAGAGAGAAGAAGAAAAAAATTCTGAACAGCTGATTTCAATTGAAATCTCAATAAGATTATCGTTGGGTGGTCAGAATGATGACCATGAACAATGACTTCTTCATTCGTATGAATGGATCCTCATCATTGAGGACTGTTTCCATTCAGATAAATCACTTCACTCACTTATGAGGGCACAGCTTCTGTTGATAGCAGAAGCTTAGAGAGGCGTTTTTTGTTTCAAACAAATTGCTGACAAAAAGAAAAATGAATTTGTTTTTAAAAAACGAATGAAAAAAATAAACTTCTGTTGAATTTTGGAAATATAAAAACAATTCTTATTGTTCAACTCTTTTTTTTTGTATTTCCTCTCTCGTTTGGCAGCGTTCGCAATGACTTAAACAATTCTGAAGCAGATGAAGATAAACAGAAAATAATCTGGACTTGTATGGTCAAAGCTATTTCCACAGGATAACGGAAAGAGCAGAAGGGAGAGATTAGTTGTTTCTCCTAGAGCCTTACATATAGAACGAATTGCAACTGTAAATACACAAGTGGGATTAAGGCAATCCAGATGCCAGATGGGAAAAAAGGGAAGACAGGAACAGCCGGAACATAGGGAACAGAAATATCACTGTGTTATAACTTGGCTGATATACAATATTTGTGTCATAACCTCCCGACTTACTCGACCGAAACATCTCAATCCTACCATAAATGGTAATAAACAGCTTAGACCATGAAGTAGAGTAATGTTTTTGCTCCTTCAACACTACTTCACTTCGTCACAAATAATTTGGATGTTTCAAACAAAAAGAAATATGAAAAGCTGAAAGATTGATGAGTCAGGGTACATAGAGGCAAAAAAGAAAAACTAATGAGATGCCTCTTCATGTATTTAAAGATGAACCACTGGAGTTTCGGCCAGCATTTCCTTTTCTATTTTACCTGGCAACCAGACAGGCAAAAAAAAAGCTATTTTGTACTTTATATATAAATAAACAATGCAAATGATTAACTAAAAAATTCCGTATGGCGACTACACCCTCATAAGGTTGAGAAAGAGTAGAAAGACACATGTAAGGGGGTTTGGGTGCCATGAACATGTAATGAAAGCAGAGAAGAGGATTAATGAGAGATGATGACCAAGAAAAAAATGAAAAAATGTCTCATTTGCATGCTTCGACATAATTATGGAGCTGCTTCTCCTATTGAAACAAAAAATGGAGTCAAATTAAAAATCGCCGCGTCACCTTACAAAAGGCTTGGAGATTCAAGATTAAATTAAATTGAAAAAGAAATAAACAGGAAATCTAGAGTTAGACTGAAGAATGGATTCAGTGACTGACTCGCATCTGCGAGAGTGTCAAGACTAAATTTCTATAAAATATTCATCAAACACAAGGAATTCTTCCATATTCAATAAACGAAATGAAGACACGAAGAAACAGATAGGACATGTGAATGAACGAAAAAGATTCTTATTAACTATTACTTATATAATATAGTTGGAAAGATTATAAAGAGTTCGGGAATTAAAGCCTCAACGGCTGCCTACAATGCTTTTTCTTTTGGCTGGTATGTGGGCGGAGTCAGTAACGGGACCTTTGCTTCTATGAAGAGTATTGGAGTATATTGAGAGATAGACAAAATAAAGAGAGGAATAAGAAGAGAATAGAGAGAGAGAGTAAAGTAAGAGATATTATGAAAATTGATTATGACAAAGCTTAAATAAGTTAAGAAGTTGTCCTATCTTACATTCATAGAGTATATCTGAATAGTACGGGAAAGAAGCTGGTTATGGATGAATGTTATCCCATTAGATTATATAATTACATCAATATGAAATACAGGTGTCCAGTGCTTAGGTCATAAATGGCTATGAATAAGAATTCCCATATAAGTTATGTAACCTTTGTTGTTGTTCACATTATAAATAGAAAAGAAGATGAATATGCCAGATGTTGAAATGAAAAATAAAAGCCCACGTGTATGTTACGTAGAAGTTACGTGAACATGACATGCAAATTCTAAAAATCATTTACATTGCAGTTGCAGTTGAGACCGGTTGCAATGGATAATATGTAAATGAGGTGTGATTGAAATACTTCATTCAAGTTCATAGATGAAAATCAGTGAACTTTTGACTAATTATTTAATTATATCCAATGTTATGAGATAATGATTGAACACGTTTTGTATGAATTGAAAATTAATAATTATAGATAGAATAACAAGGTTGTGTTTGTCATGTTAAAGAGTTTTTATGGGGTAGAGAGAGAGTAAGACTGAGAGATAGAGAGAGAGACGAGATTTGAAAGAGGGAAAAGGTGAGAAGACACATCCATCATTGGATTACTGTCAATAATACCAATTGTAATACAGAAGGAAGTGTCATATTCTCCTATTATGGTACAAGTGCCAACACCTCTTTCATCTCTTTCATTTTCTTTGTGAATATTGTCTTGCAATCAAAAGGATTTGTCAGATAAAGCGGTAAAAGGAGAGAAAGAGAGAAGAACAAAATAAACTTCAAAAGGAGAGAGGTAGAGAGTGTGAGTATGGTTGTACATGCTGAACTCTAATACTGTTTTACCGAAAAGCTTTGCCAGGTACTCTCAGCCTCTATTAGATACAGCTAAATTCCCTTTTATGGATATGATTTTACGTGTTAAGTATAATGAAATGTAAGCAGATTAAATAACCTTGAAGAGATATTAAGAGAGATAGAATTCAATATTTACCTTTAATTAAATATTGCAAACGTAACATTACTGAAGAGCGAATGATTTCCAGAGAGAAATCCAAGGAATCTTTTCATTTCTAATTACTATTTGATGAAAATAAGCTGAGAAGCTTTTAATCGTCCAATAAAAGGTCATTCATCATCAGTTCCACGTAATTAATGGGAATTAACTCAACACAACGCCTTTTTCCAACTAAAAGTGATGAGCTTTTAACAAATTGTGTCAAATAACGTGTCAAATGGGGTAAAATCACAAATAGAGAGAGAAAGAGGAAGTAGAGGAAAACAACCGCTCAACTCATCAAGCAATATTAAAAATGAAATAAGAACATATTTAATGTGTTTGAGCATAAAAAACTGTTTCGAAAGGTAGCAGACAGGAAACGGTCAATTGAATGAAGAGCTTGATTGTTCTTTACCCAAAGAATCAAAAAAGGGAATTATTAGTAGAGAGTAGAGAGAGGGAAAGAGAAAAAGAGAGAGAGAGAGATGTGTAAGATAAAGAGAAAGTTCATCAGGTCATTGCTGGAGCTATTATCTTCTGCAACACCTAATCGCTCACTAAACGAAGAACAAAGGCTGAAACATGCAAAAACATAAAAGGAAGAAAATTATTTAAAAAACGTATTCTATTCGTAGGAAATTTGAGATAAACGATTGACCACGAAGTAACTTTATTCGGCCGACAACTGTTTGGAAATATATAATATATCCATATATGGATAAGTGTATATATATATTTGCATACAAATATATAAATAATAGTTAAAAAAAGAAAATTCTCTATGGGCATTCAAGAAATTCCAGATACAAATGATGATGATTCACTTGTTATTAGCTGCAAT